TTTTTTTTTTTTTAGTCTCTGCAACAGAAAATTTTACATGCAGCCTCTGGTTACCCTGAGAGTTACCCCTAGCAGGGGACTTTTTTATTGATTATTGAAGACTTTCAAAAATTTTTCAAGCTGTAGTTTTTCAAACACATCTTCTGCACATTACAATAAGACACACAGTTCAATAAAGCATTTTCAAGACTGTTGTTCAGTTGATTTTCTTTGGTTTTAATATATTTTCCAGACACTTCTGTTCCAGAAATTTCTGCATCTGCCTTTAATTATAACTGTATCTTTCAGCACAAAATCAGTTTGTGTACACATCATGGGTGGTTTATATGTTTTAAAACCAGATGCTTTGGCAGGTGATGAACTATATAATCCTAAACTCTTCACAGGTAGGTGAACTGAAGGCTGCATAGACCAAGATGCATTTAAAGCAGGCTCTTCTCAGTGTAGTGGTGTTTTTGTTGGTTAAGGCTGGTCTCTTACATTGCCCAAATTCCAGACATCACCACGTTTGCTTGGAAGGGGATGCAAACTAGTGGTACCTATGTTTGTTTAGAGACTGAATATATGCTAGCTTGGATTTAAAAGTATCCTTTGACGTCATGTTAACTTGTACAGATCTTCAGTGGTTTGGGAGGCTGTGTTTTATTTTTTTCTATTTTAGGTTTAAAAATAACATGAAATGGCTATTAGGAGGGTGTTCCAGTAAAGTCCAGTCCTATCTGCAGGGAAGTGTTGATCAGAGTAAGCTTTGCCGAGGTAGTATTTTTGGGGTATTTCCAAAACATTTATTTTCAAGGTGCTTTGGGCTGCAGTGACTACAGCCTGCACCAGCTTTGGAGGGGAATCCCACAGGGGATTATTGCCTTTTCCATGTGAGAGAGGAAAAAAACCACAGAACAACAAAAAAACCACCCCAACACCACATCCCAATACTCAGCGTGGACAACCCCCTTCCAGGAGCAGGAGCCTTAATCCTCTGCACTTGCACAGTTCTGGGGTGCAGTGACACCTGCATTGTGTGAAGAAGCACTTTCAAAGGTATCAGCAAAAGCAATTTTATTATGAATTTGTGAAAGCATGACTAAGTTCTCTGGCAAGGTTTGCTCTGTTACCTCATAATTAAAGCACACAAATGAGAACTGGATTATAATCAATCTAGAGTGAAGCACAACAGAGACTGGGGATGCAAAAGGGTGAGGATGGAGAGTGTAAGGATGCAGAAGGGGAAGGGAGACCCTCCACGGAGGTACAAGTTTCACAATGGAGCCCTTGCCTAACCTACCCTTGGAATTGCTCAGTGCATTATGTCTAAAGGATCTGGCAGCACTTAATCATTGATTTAACTCTTACAGAATGATTCTGTAAGATAACCATAACCACAACATTGTGTAGCTTAATTTTGAATCTAAGATGACAACATTAATGCTACACTTGCTATGAAGTGTTGAAGTCAGTTTTCACACCTGCACACAGACACAGCCATGTAAATATTCAAATGTTTGTGTGTGTGTGCATATGTACAAAGCCCCTGTTCAAAGCCCCCCCCAGAGTTCAGTGAAATGCACACACGGGGTGCCTTTGCATCTCTCAGTGGGCAAAGGCTCCAGCCCAGAGGAGGGGTTCCAGCCCAGGCCCCACTGTCAGCTTTTGAGGGAGCCCTTTGAGTCCCAAACCTGTGGCTGGTGAGAACTGAGAGGCAAATTCTGCTCCAGGGGATGTGCTGGCACAGCCACTGGGGCATGGGACCTCAAAGGGCCTCCCGTGGGACACTGATCATAGGTTGTGAGATGCTTGGATTAAATCTTCCGTCAGCTTCCATCCTGGATTCAGTCGAGGTCAGTAATTTTCCTCAAAACTCCAGTAACAAATACTATTTCACTACAGCTGTGATCCTGGCATCACTGATGGTTCTCCTGAGCCTACCATGTTCCATTCTGCTGAGAACCATTGCTGGGGATGGGGCAGTCAGAAAGGTACACAGCCATTCCCGTATTTTGATGTTAAAGTGGTAGAGGAAACGGTGGAACAGTGGAGTTGAAGTCCCTTGAAAGCTTTTCAGAATATTGGTGTGGTCTGTCTGTAACTTGTGATCTGTGTTAGTAAGAGGTCTGGGTTGGTTTTCTGAAACCTTTTTAATGTTTTTGTCAAGGACAAAGAAAGACTCTTGCACATGGTGGTGTGATGAACACTGAAAATGTACCCATCTCATGTTTTACTTGTGACTGCCTTGATCAATTCCCTGGCACTGGGGGTTGGGGGAAGTTTTCATTCTCTGCCATTCACTCAGATTGGGTTCCCATCTTGGCACAGAGTTGTGCTCCCTGTTAAGTTTATGGACAGTGTAGTTTGGTGCAGGAACCAAACATCCAGATGTGTGCACAGCTGCAGCTTTGAGACACTTGTCTGTTGTGAGGGTCTAAGGGCCATTTCCTGCTACCAACACAAGTCCCAGGAGGCAGAGAGGCTCCACTGCCTCCCAGGGCTCCCAGACCTAACCCAGGAGCAGTGTGCACATTCCGTGTGAAGCTTTTCCAGTTACACCACTGAATCTTCTTTTCCCTGGCATAGCTGACTCACTGCCAGTCAGCCTCTTCTGCCACATGGGTACTTTGCTGGTTTGAGCTGTTTGTTTTAGCTCCTAAGGAAGAGGAAAGGGTCTTGAGACAGGCTGGTGGGCACAAGGATTTATTTGCAGTGTTTATTGTATTTAATGTGCATAGTATATAGGTGCTCAAAAGTTATTTGTGGACAAAAAGAGTAGAAAAGGGGAACTGCAGGGGGAATTGTTCAGCTTCTGGAGTGTGCCTCCAGCACACTTTTTCAACTCAGCACTGGCTGTTACCTCCTGCAACATTTAATGCAACATAAAGACTCTTGTGGGTAAAAGCAGGGCCCTGCAGCTGTGGGCTGTGGAGGAGAGGTACCACTGGAAGAGCCCCTGCAGAGCTGCATCCGCCCTGCTGGGCCACACCGGGGAAGGGGCAGCGTGAAGTGTGGGGAGAGGGGCACAATTCCCCCCATACCATGTGGAGCTAAGTCACGGCCTTGAAGGAGTTGTCAGAGAGCAGAGCAGAGAGCAGGACATGGACGCCAGAAGGAGGGATACCAATGTGGATCTCAGCATACTCCAAGGGTGGGAAAAGAAAAGGATGTATAGCAAAAGTTAGGTTAGGAGTGAGGGAAACAGTAGGGCAGGGAATGATGTGATGTTTCAGAAGCAGAAAATGCTACAGTCATGCCAAAGATGAAGAGGAGTGACGGGACTGAGGACGGCAAAGGACCACAGTGAATCACAAGCAGCTGAGAGTGAGGCTCTGGCAGCTTTCCTGCTCCCACCATTCACTGCCTGTGGTGCAGCAGGATGCTGGCCACCACCTCTGGGGCTCTCCTGCCCTTCCCAGACAGCAAAAACTCCAGCCCAGCTTGCCCTCACCCTCACAAGCTCTCCAGTCTCTCTCAGGCTGGCAGTGCTGCCACCAGGGTATCCTCCCCTTTCTGATCCTATTCTTTTTACAGAGCAGCCCCTGGAAGGCTGTGCCAAGGCTTTGCACATCATTCTTAACCCCAGCACCACACACAATGCTGTCCCCCACACACATGAACCACTCATGGGCTCAGGATCTCCTGCAGGCTGTTGCCTTCTTTCACAAAAATCAGCATTTGCCCATCCTGAGACCAACCCAGGCCTCCTTCTTCCCCAGGCGCCAGAGCTGTCCATCAGTGCAGGATGAAGGACAGTTCTTCCTGTCCGCAGCAGCAGTGTCCCTTTCCCCCACCTCTGGTGGTAGCTGCTGTGAAGCTTCCATTGGCAAGGGAAGCTTTTCTTACTTCCATCTCAGGCTGGCCCCTGGAGCAGCAAACCGCACACGTGCCTCAGGCAGGCGGCTGGGGTGTGTGCCAGCAGCAGGAGGATGCTTTGCTTTCTGCTGCACTGGTGCTGCCCCCCTGCCACTCACCCTCCTTTGCAGAGCCCCAGGAAATGCAGTTCACAAGCAAGTACCCAATAAAGGAGAGACAAGCATTTACATTTTATATAAGCGTTTATTTACAACTTGTTTAACAACTGTACACTCTTCTATCGCCTTGGAAGCATTAGTGTATTTGACTGGGAAAAAATATTAAACTTTTTGATTCCAATTATCATTAATGAGGTTTTTTTCGTCTATATACAGGTATGTATATTAATATTGCTACCATAACAATCTGGTAGTTACACAATTTGTAGATGAACTGAAATGGGAAATTAATGTTTTGACACTCTAAGAATTCTTTTACAGAAAATATATCACTGGCAACTTCACAAACAGTTATTACTTTGATAATTGATCAACATTTAATTCAGGACTGTCAAACAAGCTGCTATTAAGAAGGTAAGAGAGTTTTCTATGCAGCACAAATGAAGTTAGTATATCAGAGACATGCTGGAGATCAGCTCTGAGTTGAGAGCTCACAACCACTTCATGACAGAGATGCCAGGCTAATGTAGTTAAAGTAGCCAGCTCCTTGACTGGCTCCACCTGGCATCTCTCTGTTGCATTAGTAAACTCAAACAACTTTTGTCAAGCTAAACACACTTACATATAAATGTCATCAAGGTTCAAGAACAACTGATACTTAGTCTCTAATCTGCACAGACCACTTGGAGAAATGAGGTACTGCTTGGCATCGCTTTGGGACAGCTGTGGAGGCAGGTGCACAAAAAAAGCAATCCCCTCCTGCCCAGCACAGTGCCCTGAGCTCAGGGATCCTGCACCCAGCCTGGCTTGGGCAGGGTGTGGTCCCAGCCGAAGCAGCACAAGCAAATGAAAAACATACCATGCCTTTAACACCCGACTAAAAGAAGTTTTACTAGTAATGCTTGCCCTGACACATAACAAGGGATCAATGTCTAGGATCTGGAAAGACACAAATCCTTCAGCTCTCTGCTGGACTCAGTCTGATGAGATGCAGCTGCCTCTGCTGCACAAGTACTGGACTCATTATCACCAAACCCAAGATCCTGGCTGCAGGCCACGTAAGACTTCACTGTCCCTGGCCCTGGTGGACCAGGAAAAACATATATCCCCATCTGAAGCCTTTACGGACAGCTGTCAGCCAGAGCACCTGGTAGCTACAGTACCTGATAGAGTGTCCAGAAGGGAAACACCACAGCTCTCACTGGGATCCTACTTTTGTCCTTCACTCTGCTGCCTGCTTGAAGCGCACTCCTGCCTGCCCACCCCCGGCAGGGCACACGTCCATCCCTGCTCCACGTCCCTGTGCACAAGGCCACGGACACTGCGGGATCAGGATCCCTGAGGACTGGACACCATCGGGCACCTCTGCGCCTGAGGGGTGGCTCTGTCAAAGCCCACCTGGCAGGCCAGGGACGAGGCAGGCACTGTGTGTGACCAGAAGAGACTGCAGAGACAAGTGGGCACACTTCTTCAGCGGGGGTGCCCCCACAGCAAACAAGGCTGGGGGTTCTTCCACTGCCCAAACAAGTAAAACTATTCTTGGAGGCAGCACAGTTCGTATCAATGTTTCTGCCAGGATTAAGATCCAGGTGAGCAAGAATGGGGTTTCTCTGTAACTGGATTTAATCAAACCACCTGAGGTACTCAGCATTCAGACTTCTCAGTTTTTCCAGCAAATCCTATGGCTTGAAAGCCCCTTTCCCTGTTTGTTATGTACTAACTCCTATACAATAAACCTCTTAACTTACAACACTACAGCACTCCCTTGTCTTCTGAATCTTGCCAGTACTGGATGTCCAATACAAAACAAAGATACAGTAGTACAAATGTGCAGATATTTAGGAATATTAAATAAGCAGCTTTTTAAATTAATATAGGCAGTACAAAGCATTTTGAGTTACACTGTCTACATATGGCAAATCTTATATCTAAACTTTAAAATACAAAGAAACAGCCAAGCTAGTGCAATTGGAAATTAAATAGCTAAGACTGTGACAAGAGAAAGAAAAAAAGAAAGGAAAAAAACAGTACAGGTGAAAGATAAACGATCCAAATTATAAACTGGCAAGGACAGTCTGCATAATACTGGTGTGTAGGTGACTTTCATACTTATCTCCATTCATGGTCTTTCCTCAGATTGTTTTTAACAATTGTATACAGATTGGAAAAAAAAGTTTCTGAAAGAAACCAACAACACAGCTCAAATGTAGAGAGAAAAATACAACAGCCACAAACTACTGTGTATATACATATTAAGGAAGCAGGCAGTGCCTGTGAACAAAATACCACCCGGTAGTTTGCCTGGCTCGGAGATTATCAGATGAAACTTGCTTGGTTTTCTAAGGAAGATGGGATCGCCAAGCAGCAACTCGTTAGTCATTTCTCCTGGTAAAACACCTCCTTCGCTTTACTTTATTTGTTTAAAGATTCCAAGTGGATCCTTTAAGGGTGCAGGTGCTTTGAAATTTTAACAGTAACCAAAAGGCCTTTTTAGGAACTCATTAAGACTAGATTTTTATAGTTCGGTATATGAAAATGTTGCAGGAAGTCTGTGTGTTAATACTGTTAATCAGAATTAAATAAGTGGACAGGTGGAAGTAAGATGGAGAGCTGACACTGCTCTGTCACTTTGCAGAACGCCTCCTGTTGAGTTGTGAATACAGGATTTCCTCTCTTCTAGCCTCATAGGAGACTTTTTGTGAAGAGAAAGAGTAAGTGGAAGTGGGAAATGGGAAAGCCACTCCCCAGGGTGGTAAGCTTCTCTGCAAGTAGATCCCCCTTTGAAATCAGATGGCCATGAGTCTTAAGTGTAGAACTGGTTAAGTTTTGGTTATGCAGTCTGGACAGAAAAGCAAGTCATGCACTGAACAGTCCCTGTTATAATAATGCTGCAGGTCATGCAACCACATCACTGCAAATAAAAGATAAAGAAGAAAGTTAAAAAGCAGATAACATATTACTGTTGAAAAAAACCAAAAAAACAAACAAAAAAAAAACCAAAACAGAGAACAGAACAGGTCTTTTAAAAGCAGTTTAGTTAGGCCACCTCTACTTAAGAGTTGTGCAAATTCATGGGGAAATACCTTAGTCAAGCAACTGTTCAAATTAACAGGAAGGTTACAGGCCAATAATTGGAAAAGCAACCGAATAGCCTTGTTCAATATCTAAGTTTAGCTGTAACTGAACTTTACACACTTCTAAGTAAAATTCTTCAGGGCACCATTCTAAACTAATAAAGCTATGGAAAGTAAGTTTACACAGCAATGAGTAAGTCTCAGGCATTCCTGCTGTCTGTGAGTACAACTTTTAAAACAAGATAAAGTGAAAGGTGCCCACCCAATTCTGCATGTGTTTACAGGCTAAAAGACAATCAAGAGTCACATAAATGTCTTGAGCTCTGAGGGACACTGAAGGCATTTATATTCTATCAGAGCTCATTCTGTGCACAAGGCTCAGCATCACTGCCCCGCTGCACTGGCAAGTTCTACCCCTTGCATGCAAATACAGGTTTGAATTGCCAGAAAAGAATGTTCTTGTTACAGTAATCTGAGTCAGTCACCGGGCAGTCAAGAGAGCACTCCATGATGCTGTGGAAGGGAGTCTAAGTTTGGAGGAGAATCGGAGAGGTTGGCACAGCTCTCCATCCTCACTGATGCACCCTTTTTCCTGGCAATGGAATGCTTTACTGACACACCTGCTTTCCCCAGGCAACACACGTGTCCCTCCACAGCACTGGCACAGCACTGAATTGGCATCTTTGTTTTCATATTGCAAAGAGCAAATTGGCTTCACCAGACTGAAATTAGAGCCTGTTTCCCCACTTCCTTCTCCCTTTTTTATTGCACTGGTCAAAAATGATTCTAAGAATGCTTCTTGTGATGGGAAAATCCAGGTTAAATAGATAAAAAAGAGTATTTATGCTACAAGTCCTGTAGCTTGTGTATCCCTCTTTTTTTCCTTCTCATTCATCCACCTAGAAGACTAATCATAATAGAAAAACAAATAGAAACACAGAGACACATTATCAAATGGAATAAAAAAATCTAACACATTCAACACATTCAAAGACCTTGAGGGTGGTGTATTTTGAGCAATCATTGTCTTTTAAGCTTGCTTGGCACTGCTTGGTGCATAAAGTTACACAGTTCAGGATTAATATGAAGATCGCTGCAGTTGTTTTATAAAAAATAAAAAGTTCAAGCTATATAAGCATGTACCTATTCTATTGTGTATAAATGAATATAATCTAGTCCTTTAGTTTCATCTGGCTATTATTTAGCTCAAACTTACTATTTTGTAGCACTTCAAGTGTCCTTCAAGTGTTTGTTGCACATACACAGAAGTGACACTTCAGGCTTCTCTTTGAATCAATAGTATTTTTGAGAGGTCTTGTAAACTCAGGACACTGTATTAACTTTCAAGGATGTAAGAAATCATCTGTTAGTGCCCCTTCCTGGCTAGTAATTCTTTTCATGTTCTAAAAATAGTTGTCTGCCAATTTCTCTATTTTAAAGCCACCTGCTGAGGTAGCAACACATAAAAGAGAACAGAAAATGCAAGAAAACAGAAATGCAAGATGAGAGGGTAAATTCACTGAGCATAACCTGTCACTGTATCTGCAGCATCTTAGAGACAGATTATGCAACAGACAATGTGTCTAAGGAGTGACAAAGAGAATACAAAGCAGATTATAAATTTTAAAAATTGTGGCCTTATGATGTAATGCTTAGAATTATTCCAAGATTTGACTAATACTGCTAAACTAAAGCTTTAAAAACTGTCTCAAAACCACTGATGCCTCCAGGAAATATGTTTATTCTCCACCTTACTAACCTTTTGTGGCTGTGAACAATAATTTCTTCTTTACAATATTTTAAATTATATAGCTTATGTTACATTCAAATCCAAATCAAAAGTCTGATGGTCTCATTACAGCTATTTTATAAGTCCATAAATACTACACCACTGGGGATTTTCTCCTAAAATTCCATCCACTTTCATGATCAGGTTAACAACATGAGCAGGCTAACAGTAACAACTGGGCTTTTATGTTAGCTCTTTTCAAGTTATGTATAATTATAAGGGATTCAATTTCCATTTCCAGAATAAATTACTCTATACCTCTATACTGTAATCTACCCCAACTGGAAATACTTTCTTTTGTAGTGTTTCAGATTTGTGCCATGCTACAGTAGTTAGCAGTTCTTCACAGTGCTGACTGATGTCTGCTTTTTTAACAATTAAACAACGTTTCTCTTTCTGAAATCACCTCATCTGATTGCAAAGGACCTCTCTAATGCAAAGCAATGAATAAAGTCAGCACCAGAGAGGAAAGGCTGCCAAACTGACCTGTATTTCCCTCTACTTGCAGTATTTTTCATGTTGTATGCATCAGTCTCTGACACCCATAGCAGCAAGACAGCTGCAAGAAATTTTTATCTGACAAATGGAATCTGTTTTCAGTCTGGAAATGACACCATATGCAAAGGAGACTGAAGGCTATGCAATTTTCCAAACAACTTTATATACACAGCAAACAGCAGCAAACTCCTGATTTGCCACCAGAGCCAATTAATACAGAAATATGCTTCAGGATAGTCCTGCACTACCTTGGCATGGCCCAAAGGTGAAGACAGAATCTGGAGTATAGTGGAGCTGACAGCAACACCATCCCCCAGCAGATGAGGACTTTAATTTAATTAGAAATACAAAAATCTTCTTTCTAGCTCAGTAAGCTCAGGTTCTTCTTCATTCATTTTGAAATGAAAACCAAAATGCAAAATGCTGAAAGAATGCTCTTCTGATTTTTGTACTGACTAGTTGATTGCATCTGTGTCCTCCACATTCAGATCGAAGAAATCACACTTTATTGTTAGTTATTGCCTGCTGTATCCTGATCCTCCCTGTCAGGATCACTGACAAACTTCTGCTACTTTTCTGGACTTATAGAGGGAAGGAAACCACAGGAGTAAGGCAATCCAATCAGCCATGCCAGGATATGTTCTTGATTCCTTAAGAGTGACAAACTGGAGGCATGGCTAGAATCCTACCTAGAATATGGTATTTGCTCCAAAAACCCTCACCACTTGGAAGCATATCCTGATAGCTCCTTTTAGCTATTTATTTATGCAATGCCAGCTGAGGAAAATGTCTGCTAAATCTGAAGTTTATCAGTACAATCTTACTACAAAACAGAGTCCACATTCTACCTAAAACACATGTGCAAAACCCCATAAGTCAGTATTGCATAGCTGACTGAGTGCAAAAATACCTCCCTCATCAATCCTTGCAAAAAGTCAATATGTTGGGCAAGAATTAAAAAATCTCTATACAGTAAGTAAAATGGAAATATTGTTTTGCTTCATAAGAAAAAGGGAAGTTAGCCACATTCAGGGTAGTCTTCCTCCAAATCATTAACATGAAGAAAATCAAATGGTGACGTTAAAATATCTTACAACTACCAAATCTACAGAAAATGTCAACACATCAGGAAAATTAAACCCACTCAAAATCATTCAGGAAGCTGTTAAGTAGATAGTCTCATATACTAGAGTGCACAGGAAAAGCAAAAGCCATTTGCACATGTCAAAATACCAAGGACTTTAAAACTGAAAAAAAAATATTAATTTTCTTGACAGTTACACATACCATTTACTATTTGATATCATAATAAAGCAGTAATAGGAATATTCACTGTTAATTCTTTCATACACATATAAAAATGCCAGTGCTCCTTACAGAAGAGAGAAATAAAATGAGTGACACTTGAAAAGGACAAGATTGCCATTAGATTATTTCCAAACAGAATGAAAGGCATCTTGTAGCCATTATATATTTATTTAATTTTGAATACACAAAGTTGTGTATATTCCATACACGTATTTACCTTTTGTTGGGGGCTGTGTTTCTTTATTTTTTTTTTTCTTTTACTTATAGAATTTTTTCCTAGTAAGTTGCTAGGAAATGAACTACTTGGTACTTATGAATACTTATGGGAACTTTAGAAAGACAAAAGAAGGTGGCTGGAGTCAGAAGAGGAGAGTAGCATCTGGCTACTCTTTTTTTCTCAGGGAATTTCTCTCTCTTTGCACTGTGGATGGAACACGCAACCTTTAAATTAAATTACTTCAGTTTTCACACCACTTAGAAAATACATGTTATGATCCAAGTGGTTATGTGTTGCTATCAAGAAAAGAGGGAACCTGAATTTTTTTTTCTCTAATGTCTGATTGGATATGCTAAAAATTCAACTCTCCACAGAAGTACATGAAGTAGACTGCATATCTGAACCCATCATCATTTTAGGTCAGAGACTAAGCTTCAGCTCTAAACAATGAAAATATTAATCCTAAAAAACCCACCAGAATTTATCTGTTATCTTTATTTACCATTAATTAAAATCTGTCAGAAAGATTATTCTGGGCAGATCCTCAGCACATGTCCAGCAAAGTACTCTCACAAACTCCTCAGCTGTTTTACCTCTGATCTGGAGAATCTTTTCTCTTTAAGCTCAATTATAGGGTCTTTCTTCTGTGGTGTGTCAGGACAATACAGCACTGGTGTAGTAATTACCACTACAATATTGATGTAAATAGTCATTCTTGCCTCAGGGGAAAAAGGTATTCCTAAAAAACTTCTCAGAACTATCTAATGAACTGAGAGAATTCTGCTCCATAGGCTGGGGCTTTTCCTCATATACTTTAATTACTCAAGGTAAGACAAATAGGGAACATACACTGGTAACTCCCCTGTATATATGTTTATTCCCTGGAGTCAGTCTGAGCTCCTTCTTTTTCTTAATACACGCTGATTACAAAGATATGTAACAAGCAAGCAAAATAATGAAGCTGAACCCTTTGAATCAAGAAGCTGTTCTTGTGAAAGAGAAGGTTTAATGATGTTCACCACTTGCATTCATCCACACACAAAGATTATGAATGGATGTATGCAGCAAACTAAAGAAGTAAAGCACTGAAGAAAAGAGGATTGAACTCCTAATTATAAACAGAAGACATAACAAATGAATTACTAGAACCAGACATAAGAGTGCAGTACATTTTTAGGTTTCTATATTCAGCACGAATTCTGGGAAATACCAGAATTTCTACACATTTGTAAGTTCTCAAAGATAAAATAATTGTTCACTTACCTAACAATTACTATGAGCCACAATAAAGCTCAGATGCAATATGAGTTTTGTTGCTCTTTGATGCTACATAATGATGCTATCTATTTCTGAAGAGAACTACAGAAAACACTTCAGTGTCTTATGTTCAAGGGAAAAGGAAAGACAGAATCACAAACAGAAGAAAAGCCAACAACCACCAAGAAGCAAAAGAAGCTATGAGATACTGAAAAGTAAAAGCCTAAGACAAGGTTTCTAACCAGCATCTGTTCATCTCCTAACTCTCACTGGAATTAGCCTGTGATCAAATCTTTGGAGGCAAAAGAGTAAAACAAATATTAACATAATCAAAGCAATTACTTTTATTCTAGCGTGCTGATTGTGTTCAAGTTCTTTTAGATCTGCACCCAACAGCAGAAAGTAATTAAATTACTAGATAAATCCGAGAAAAAACTTCCCATTAAGGTTCCATCCCCTTCTTTAATAAATAGCCCTTGGCAGTTTTGTAACAGAAAAATTAGCTAGATTAAAATTAAAATGGAGCTTTAGGTATTCTTAGGTTCTTGCTCTGGGTGATATAAAATGTTGTAACCTCAAACAGGAACTTCAAATTCCCTTAGAGGAGTGGTCTTGCTCCTGTTCACATACAGCATGTGGTATGGAGTTCTGCAAGTCATTAGAATTGATTGCACAATGAGATCCGTAGGAGCTATGGCACACCAACTGTACCATCTAGGTGATTACAGAAAGCACTTTCTATACAGAGCACTTTGTATCTCAGTAAGACACAGCAGATTGAGCATACCACCTCACTGAGCTACAGAAATAATCCACAACTTCCTTTGCATTGTTATCTTTCTGCACACAAGAAACTTGCTATGTCCCATCTCATTTTTGCAAGCCTGTAACAGTCATATACTGCATAAGTACAGAAAATTTTTAGAAAACCATTTTTTCCCAAATGTGAGGAATAAAATACAAAACTTTAAGTAGAATTCAGCATCTGTTTTCAGGGAAGGGGTGGGGTGCATATGGGGGTGTAATAGGAACTGAAATATTTTTCAGACACATACTGAATGCATTTCTTAGCCCAGATTAAAACAGATTGAGGATAAAACAACAGTACCTAAAAATGTCATTCACCTGTTTATTAGCCTTTAATCTAGGTGTGCTTGTTTTAGTTATCCATTGCTCATTCTACCCAAGTTTTGAATTAAAAGAGACATTCAGATGATTGATAAATGCTAGTATCTTTTCTCTAAAGGGATTTATGCAAAAAGAAACGTCTCCACTTAGAAGGACATTAAGATCAGATGAAAGAATAAATTTATAAATGGACTGCCTGTGCATTAAGAGTCCAAACAGTCTCTAAATAAAAACCAGTCTCTAAATTTAAAACTGACTCACAACAAGATGTATAAATATTGAACTTCCAGCCAATACTCAGGTTCTCTGTGTCTATCAATTCTTTGACAAAAATGATAGGGAATGCACAGAATTGGTCAGGAAAAAAAGCACAACTTTGTAGAAACAGGACCTAAATAGGAGGAGCCTCCATCCACTGATCAACATGAAGGTGTTACAACAGTTAATCAGCTATGCACTAAAAAGGCAGTACAACAAATCACAACCAGTTTCCAACAAAGTCAGCAATAAACTCACCTGAAGGCACTGGTACCATTAGTAAGGCAACGGATACAATTATACCCTGAATCAATATATTAAAAGCAAGTCTTTTAGTGGGGGATGACAACTGGAATACATTAACAATATTAATTGGGGCCTTGATCCATTATTGTTCATCCATAATCATAAAATCTTAAAACAAATGTCCTTTTTAAATGGATGATAGAATAGCAGATTAGCCCATCCTAAATACTTCGTCACCTTTTTAGAATATGTATTTAAGCAAACGCTTGATAAAGAAGAGTGGAATAAACCATTTGAAAATATTAATCTCTCCCAGCAAAAGAGGTAACACCAGTTGATAAAGAAAAACCTGGAAAAAGATCATCCTGCCAAGAATAAGAGCAAACTTTGCACTTAGGAGATTAAAAAAACCTCAATCTTTCTTTTTCGCATTGGTGAGATTTTAGTATGAAACATATTTCACAATAATATTATAATCCAACTTTGTATTTCTGTAATGAGATTTCAGCATTTTTCTGAAGCAACAGGATAGGAGATGAAATAAAAAGCAAATTCCCTTTGAAAAAAACAGTCTTATAAAGCATAACAACTCTTACAGGCACAAAAGTACCAACTGCGATGAGAAATCTATATTGTCATATGGCCCACATGAGGTTTTTTTGTAAGAGACCAGGCTTCATACAAAAAAGACTGTCATTATACAGCACTCCTCTAGATGCTTTCAAAATTTTGGCACATTCAGAAAACGCAGAGAGAAATGAACTCCAAAAAATATAAGCAAGGGGCATAACAGAGCAATGAGAAAGCATAATAAATCCCTTTCCTGAACAGCAGAATAATAGCAGTAACAAGGGAGAAAGAGAAAGGATGCTGGTTTATTTTCCTTGAATGCTGTCACTTGCAATAGAAGTGGCCTGGATCACAGGGCAGTTTTCTTTCTAAGGGCAAGGCTTCTCTACCTTGCTGTTGCTGGCTGGACATGACCAGGGTAAGATCTCCTTGTGCTTGTGGCTTGCCTTTGTCTAGCCAGGAAGGACTGTCCTGAGCCTGTACTAGCCAGTCTGTCTTCTGCTGCTTTTTTATGCAGAGTCATCCCCTGTGGACAAAGAGAATTTCTCAGTGAATACCAATACAAAACACCTTTATTCATTTACATTTTGTTCATTACTTATCTTCACACTGACTAAACCATTTTGAATTCCATATGCAAAGCATTTTATTTTCAAGGACAAAGGTGAGATATTCTTCCTAATACTTTGTGTGGAACTCTTATCCTTCCCTGCTGTCATTCTCCAGGTTTAGTAACCACCTAATAACTCAATATATGTTTCTCATGGAAATCGGACAATTATTTTCAAAAGGACTTCCCCCAGTTCCTGGCTCCTTTCAGCATGTTGACATAAAAAATACTTTTCTTCTGAATAAAGTTTAGGTATTGTCATCATCTGTGTAAACACCAACTCCTATGTCAGAAGCACATCTTGAGAGACAGCATGTTCTCATCAGGCAAAAATGCAATTCCTCAGAGCACTCCAGCTGAATTGCAAGTAAGATGAATTGCTTTGATTGTTCACCTTCATTAGAAAAAAAATGGAAGACTGGAAAGTGGTGAATCGAAGTAAATTTGAGGTCTGTAATTTGTGTAAGTGAAGGGCTGGGATCACAAAATAGTGTTCTGAGCCATTGCTGATTTTAAAACTTAAAATTACAAACTTATTTTTTTATTTTCCAGAAGGTTATTATAGGAACAGACTCTTACATAGAGATAACTTAAGATTACTAAAAATTGCTTCTGTGTTGGAAAATGCTTTTCAAACAAAAATACTATAAATGAATAAATGCTGTTATAAACATGCCAGAAATGAAAAATATCGACATTTTCTTTCCTGTTTTTTAATTTTCAATTAAAAGGTTTGTGAGATTCTTACCATGTTGTACCAGGCACTAACGATAAATTTCTCCTCCATTTCTCTTTGACTTTTTGTTTTCTCATATTCTTTCTATAAAACAAAGTAATCCATATATTTAAAGCCAAAGTATAACAGAAGTATTAGTCTCTAACTAAAAAACAATGAGTTTTTACCACGGAACGCAATGATTACTACCTCCAGGGAATGAAGCATTCTGTCCCGCTCCTGCAACTGATTTTTCAGTGCCTGAATCTCAGGAGCAGCACCCTGGTTCTGTTTAGGATCTAATGTGCGGATGACCTGTAAGAGAAAACCAGTTTGATTTTTATTAAATTCAGCAAAAGCAATCTTGTTAGGGAATTAAAATCTTTAAAGTCAGGCTAAAAAATAAAAAAAGTAACTTAAAATATATCTACCTCTCTCATCAATGGTGACATATTAAGAGCATCTGAACAGGGCCCTCTTTTACAGGACTAGGAAACAAAACTACTGACAAGAAAAAGTGATACCTAAAAGATTCAGTTTCCCAGATGCACACCTGCAGTTCCTAATGGATGCTACATTTCCTTGGGGCCATAGTGGCAGAAATAACTTCTATAAGGTTTCTCTTACCATGGCTATGATTTTCCTGCCTGTCAATTTCTCCTGCTTGAGGAAGAACTGCTTCTGTCCTTATGGATATTTGCCATGCTTCACCTGCCTGGGGTACCATGTGCTTCTAGGTAGCCCTGTTAAGCCAAGAAGTACTCTGTGGTACTGTGCATAATTGTTATGCTACTAAAAAGATGAAGGGACATCATTACAGTTGTATGTGTCATCCACGAGTGCAAGCAAACAGAGCTAAACCAAGAACAAATCCAGCAAACTGCCTGAATTATTAAGCCTTTAATAGAAAATGGCTTGAAACTCTTTAACAACCTCTGGCTATACAGAAATAGACATCTCTTCTTTTATCTTTCTACCTATTTCAGAGTTGTGTCCAGATGCTGAAATAAAACAGTGCTTTAAAAGTAAGTGAGATATTTTTACAGTATAGTAAACATATAAATCCTATGAGGAGTGGTTGAGAGAGATGGGGGTTTTTATCCTGAAGAAGAAATAACTCTGGAGCTCTTATCACTCTCCACCTGAAAGGAGGTTGTAGCCAGGTGGGAGTTGTGGCCTCTTCTCCCATGCAACCCTGCACCTAACCCATCAATAACAACAAAAATGAACAAAAAGACCCAACCACAAACCAAACACAAATAAAATGAAAGCTGATAAGAAGATTACAAAAAGTCAATCTAAGTAGTTAATGCTACTGTCCTATAAAACACCCTTTAGTAACACAGTACATACAAATATACAAATGTACAAATCTTACTGAAAAGGGAAATGCTGTCTCTCAGGGGAATATACTCTAAGACACAACAACCAGTATAAAATGCAAGGGCAGGGAGGGCAGAGGGGAAATTTCTTCCTGAGACATTTCACAAGAAGTCATTCAGGAAACTCCACAGAAGTAAAGGAAGAAATCAAGTTTTTGCCAAATTAGGAACCTACTTGCAGATTCCAATGTAATGATATGGCTTTAAAGACTCAGATATGCTTTTAAGACACTCAAAATAGCAAAATATAGTAAGAGAAGAAATGGGACTATGATTAAGACCACAATATTGCCATTTCAAAGCTATAGTATACTCTTATCCCTAGTACTTAGTCACCTTTTGACAGAAGCATATATTTAATAATAAAGGCAAAAGAGAATGCTGAACATCATCAGAGAAATCTAACAACTACTGCAGGCAATCCAGTCAAAAAGATGACTTTACTGCAAAAAAGCATCAATTAAAGAGTCTCAAAAATGGGGTAATCTTTTGCATAATTAATCAGTATTAAATACTGAAACAATAAGATGATAACCAATGGAGCTTCCTTCTCTTTAACTTGTTAGTGTGTATGTAGCTACCTCCTTCATTTTTACTCCCACACAGTGGGCATGCAATACAGTTTGACAGGTGTGGAATACATCTACTTACGCTTTTGGCCTTTTCCAAATATTTTTTGTATCGTTCTTCCATTTGTTTCATTTCCTCCTCCTTTTTCCGTAGAGCTTCTTGTAATTCTTCAATTTTAAGTGCTTTATGTCAAAAGATGCACACATTGGACAATAACATCAGTATATTATGCATATTTTTATATTTTACAACAGACACATCAGACACAGCTAACACATATTTCAGTTAAGAAAAGCTGACATAAGAAATCTGATGTGGCAGGTATCACAGATTTAATTACTGTATAGCTCAGAAACACATTAAAAATATATACTCCTATAAAATCTCAAAAAAGATTTTTTGGGATATAATTTTGCTTTTTAAAATTCTGAAAATAAAGAGAAATGGAATCATAAAGCAATCACATCACTGAACACATTTAGAAAATGGTATTACTAATGACTTACAGCTACTATAATATCTTAGCATGTATTGCAGGTAAATATTATTTCTATTATTTTACGGAAGTGAAATAATTCCTAAGAGGCACAACTCCTGCCTAAATCTACTAAAATGTAATGTGAATATACTAAATTTCATTTCCCTTTCACATTTTCTTAAGCAGCAATTGAGACCAGTAGGACAATTTAATTGCACAGATTTTTCCTGTGTTGGTATAAGACTATGTCAAGCCACTACTACTTCTACATCTTCTATACAACTTCTCAGATCTCAGAAAACAAAATGATATTTTTTGTATTTTTTTGCTCCATCCCACTATGAATAAAATAATTTTACCACAAACCAGAAAAGCTGCCATTGGTTACAGTCTTTTGCCCCATTCTAAAATACCTAGTCTTTTGAAAAATCCAGACTACCTCCTTCATTACTTCTCTGGAAAAAACGTAGCAATAATGTGCTAAAATCCAACTAGACACTGGGTTCTGCATATCCTCTGAGCAATATGATATACATCTCACATTCTCTTTGACCAGTAAAAGAAAATTTGCTCAAATTACAACACATTTTTGAAAACACATTGGAGGAATATATACTGGAAGTAAAAATGAGTCAGTGACAACAGCAAGGGTCTTCTAAATTAGGGTCTTATGAGACATGGCAATTATGGACAGCTGAGGTTCAACAGCAGTGAGCTGGCTTTTCTATGACCAATGTCCTTGGGGTTTGGGACTAGGTGATCTTTAAGGTTCATTCTAACCTTTTAATTCTATGATTCTATGATTTCTTACTACAGTGTTTCTAAAATGTGATTCCCATGCAATTCAAGTGTTAAAAGCATCTTTTTGGTCACCCTAGTTTCCAGAGATATTAACAACATATGTGTCACTTCCATTAAAAACACACATTTTGCTTACCTGACACCTCCTTTAGGTATTATAATTAAAGATGTTGCACCTGAAGTAATTTACAAAGAAAAAAAATGGACTGCATAGGTAACTCACAACTGTTGTTGCATCTTGGTTCCAAATCTTCAATAATAGCTCGTTTCTTCTGCAGCTCATTGTTAGCTTCATGGAGCTTCTCACTGTTACAAATCACAGAAGCACATATTGTTTCCCCAGCAGTATTACTGTGCTTGAAATCAGCACTAAGTAGAACAGAAAATCCTCAGAGAGCAATTATTTCTAGGGGTATGATTGATTTTCTTTTCTACAGAGCATGAGGACAAGTGACAATATCGTTAACTAACAAGTAGAAATACTTGTTAGTTAACATGAAAAGCATTGTTTTTTATGGATAACAGCAACAACAAACAGTTTCTTTGTCAATAACTGTACTTAATTTAGAACTTAGCGTTAATTGTACAATGAGGGCCTAAAATTAATACTTGTAACTGATATTACATTGAGGAAAGAATCGCTAAACCCAAAAGCAACAGAAACTGCTTTTTGCAAGACAATCAAAAATTTAGGTAAGTAAAAGATGTGCAAAAAAGCACAATAAAATGACAGCACTTCCCAAAGTATTACTTTTATTCCATAGTGTATATCAAAGAGTAAACAAACTAATTTTGTTTATAATAACATCCTTCCCTCAGAATAAAATTACTTAGTTCTCCTGAGCAAAGATTTGAACAATGTTAAGCAAAGTTTTCTACCCAACACAAGATGATGGTTCCCTCATCACTCTTAATTTCACAATGGTTTTCTACAGGAAAAAATAGAATCTGAACAGCAGATTCCCAAATATTCTTGTGTTATCTAATTTCTCTTAGTTGCATATTTTCCAGATCCATCACTGTCTGCCTTTCTCACTATAAGGAAAAACACGATTTCAAACTGCAAACAAAATACGCAAACAAAAATACTTACAGATGTTCTTCAAGTTTCTTTTTCAGAAGAACTGACTAAAATAGAAAATTAAATGTTTTATTTTAATGTATTGCAAAGCATTAATGTATTTTTAAAATTATTTTCAAACATGCAATTTTAACATTCCAATCAAAATCCAACTTTTTAACTTTAGTTTTAGATTACAACTGTAAAGTTTCTGTGGTACCTTTCTCTTCACAGCTGTGTGACTTCAGAAAAATTAGAACCCTTTAGAACTTTACAAATATTTTCCCAGGAACTAGATCAACAAAAGTCAAGATCCATAAATGACAGAATTGTAAGGCAGTTGTTTAAATTGTTCAGTCTTTTGTATTGGAAAGTGCAGCAAAATTTGCAAGAAGAGCTATTGCATTGCAACTTGCATGAAGACGTAGCAAATTAGTTGAAGTAAATTCCCATCCCCACAGAAACTAAGAGTAGAGTATTTCTAACTGCAGTGTAGCAAAAAAGTCACTTTTTTTTGTGTTTTTTTATTGATTACAGACACAAAAAAAATCACTGTACAACTTACAGTGTTCTACTTCCTGATTTAACCACATTTAGATAAGCTCTTGGAATAAAAACTTTGAAGTAATTTTTAGATTTTAAACTCACTTCATACACAGTGAGTATTTTTAAAAAGAAAAAAAAAAAACCACACTGAATAAATGTCTATGAACTGAAAGTAGTGTTAAGTAAATAGAAAGCCATACTCACAATAGCCTTGAGCAGAAGCCCATGCCAAGAAACAGAGATGACATTAGTATAAAGCAAAACAGCAGCCAACAGAAGAAACTATTTAGAAAGTCATGAACAGAAAAAGTTAAAGCTATGCATTTTTTACGCATGTGCAATTTCTTCCTCTGTTCTCATGAGCAACTTTCATCTTGTAACATTTTCTAAAACATGTAACTAAACCCAAAAATATAAAAATAATAAAGAAGAACACTTACAAATCATTGTGTTTAAATCAGAATTCTAAAGGAAAGCAACTGCTATTTAGGAAAGTAATTTTAAAACAAAAATCATGTAACTAAGAAAAAAAAACAAGGAAAACAGCCAGTCTGTTGGGCTAGAACTAGAATTAAGAGATGCAGGTGTTTTTGTGGTGTGATGCTGAATTGTGTTATTGCCACACTGACTGAATACAAAGCAAATGTAGAATATTTAAAACTGCAGCTGTGTTTTTAGTTTGTGTTTGTACAGTATTAATCACATGGGAGGGTTAGCATGTGACTGATGGTCCACAACACCATCAAAATACAAGATAAAATAATCAACAAAATTACTTCATTGTTTTTCTCCGATGTTCTTTATACAAAGATTTAATCACCTTGCTAACAGAAAAAATTACAGTGTGCACTCAAAAAGCTTTTTAGTTTGGTTCTACTTCAAAATACTGTCTTTGATCCCATTCCTGGGGCATGTTTTCACATTACTACAAAAGAGATTTTCTTACTGCATGACAAGAAAGGTGGGGAGCCATAAAAACAAGTCAACACAGCTCTACTGATTTCACAGTCAGAAATTTGCAGCAGCTAAGGATCTGCAGGTTTTTGGCTTTTTTCTTTTTCTGTAGTCTTCTGAACAGCTGCAGCAAAACTCCCCTTTTATGTAACAAAAAAATATCTGTATGCCTCTTTATCAGTCACAAATAATTTGAACTGTCCCCATCACTCGTATCTGATCATTTAGGGGACTACTGGCTGACAAGAAAGGGAAAAACCTGGAAGCAGTTCCCATTTCCCTAAGGTAATAACATCAAAATTGAACTCAGCTTTTTTTTTTTTTTTTTTTAATCCTTTATTTGCACTTGGGTTTATCTTGAAACAGACACAACTACTAAACAACACTGACTCCACTGGTGTATTATTTACCTAGCATCTGCACTGTTGAGGAAGTAACCTCTCTTTCACCTAGATAGATCATGTTTTCACACCCAAATGACTAAAAGAAGCAGAAATGAGTTTACCCACATTAACTGACTCAAGACACATGATTAAGAAAGAGACGAAAGCACTCAATGTACCATTCTTGGTAACCAAACATCCCATATATACTTAGCAGACAAAAGTCAGACAGATCATTCTAAAAATGGGCAAATATTACTTCTGGGTTTTTTTTGCAGTATCAGTAAGCTTTAAAGACTTGTACAAATGTAAAATGTAATTACTATAGTTGCTGTTCTCTCATAGGGAGAGAACAAGTCTTTTTGCTTGAAGTTCCTTTCATGCTTAAACAAACCAAAGGAACAAATCTGTCCCATTTTTCAGAGCAAAATTTGATTTTATTTTAGATAAAAGTTAGGGACAGATGGTACAGTTCTGGCCTGAGGTTAAACTAACTTGGCAGGGTGTGGGAAACTATGGGTCATCGTGTCAGAAGACTGCTGGATGACATCAATAACACTGTGAGGTGATGAAAATCACAAAACAGCACCATGATGGATGGTCAGATTTTCAAGAATGTTGAGAGTAATGACAGAATGGCTTGGGTTGGAATGGACATGGTCCAACCCCCTTCAATAAGCAAGGACACCTTCAACTAGATCAGGCTGCTCAGTGCCCTGTCCAACCTTGCCTTTAATATTCCATGGAGGGGGCACCCACAACTTCCCTGGGTAATTTGTTCCAGGGTCTTACCAAATGAAAAAATGGCTGAACTTCATGGCTAACTGAAGAGGTAACAGAATTCTGGGGACCTTTTAGGGAGGTGCTAATCAGCATGTAAAGCGAGACTGCCTATGTTACATTATGGAAAACATTAGGCGTGGGATGGATTTAACAAGCAGGGCAGAAGTAACTAAAGGCAGGGTGTTTATATAGGAAGGGATTAGGGCAGAGAACAGGAGAACAAAGATGATAAAAGACAGTAGTAAGACATGCAAATTATGTAGTCAAAACTGTTCAGGTAACTTCTGAGTAGTCCCACATGACTACTGCATTCTGGAGGACAATAAAAATCAAACCTATTCTGAGCACACCAGACACATCTGAGTTGATTCTGTAGTCTGAAAGAATGGAGTAAGGAGGCCTTTGCCTGGCTAGCAAGGTAAGTAACACTCAGAATGGACTAATCATGCATCCCAATAGAATGTGTCAGTGCCCATCACAGCCTAGCAGCACACAGCTGCCTTCCACTGCACTTCAGTACAAAATCAAAACTGTTTGCCCTTGTGGACTTTGGCACATAGCATGTAACACTACAAGGGCACTTGCTTGCATTACAACACTACCTCTACACCTTTTTGGGCATGTCTAAAAATAACTTCAGCTTTAAAACAAAACAAAACTTAAAAAAAACAAACCAAAACAAACGAACAAAATCCTCCAACAAACCTGTGCTCTCACCATACATTTCAGGACTGAGTTAAAATGAATTTTCTGGATTGAATACATTTACCGTGTAAGCATGTAAAAATATGAATCTCAGTGCATTTGTGTGGAAAAATAGCAAAAACCAGAGGAAATTAGCTGAAAATTATGTACTGGTGAACTGTATACTGTGTCTCTCCTATTGCTTTTTCTTATGCTTCTGAAGAATCACTCTTTTTGTATGCCTATCCTACAGATAACTCAAGTAGTCTCAGCCCAACTTCCACCTAGTTGAGCAGCTGGGTTTAACTTCTGGGATTCACTCTGCTTTACAAGGGAGATTGCATGAGGAGACGACAGTGTCAGAGATTCTTGCATCTTCAACATTTCAATGAATCTACACTCACTCTTTTGCTTCCTTAAGAGTAAATTAAATCCTACAGATCAAACTCAGCAAAATAGGCCATGGGATCAGTGCCTATAAATTACCACGCTATGGTCAGACCAACACAGTCACACACTAAATCACTGACCCAACCAGACCATTCAAAGGGACACAATTAAAACTGCAGCAAATAAAGCTGAATACAATTTGACAGAGATAATTTACAATACTCAGTATCTGAAAATAATTCTTTCATATTCTTTTTCACCCTGAAAAGATTTTGGCCAATAATCAAGACAACAAAGAATATCTCAGAATAGACCTATTTTAACGTGCATTCTAAAACACATTCTAAGTTACTCAGGAAAATAATCTTGATGGAAATCAACCCAGTGTTTAACATGCATACCATTTATTCTGAAAATTTAAAGGGTAAACTCAATTTAACAAACTCTTAAATGAACACAACAATCTAATAAAAAAACTTTCACTATTTTATATAAATTAGTTAAAACAAACCCACAAAAAATAGAAAGCAGCACATTATAGTTTGTTGCCAGTTAGCAACATGATACACTGAGATTGTGAGCATAAACTATGCACGTACAGTCCAACAAATCTCTGTTTTCAAGAAAGTTCTAGAGCTTCTTTTTTGAAATACAGGAGAAAATAAACAATTTTTGAGTGGAAGCCTGAAAGTTGTTTTCCACACTAACTCAGCTAGATGTGTATTCTTGCATTTAAAATAAAGTTAACCCTGTATACAGAAATAGAAAATGCTACATTGTGTTGAGGGCCTAATTATTTGACTTCTTTTTTAGTTTTGGTCTGCCTGGCTTTTTTTATTCTGAGATACATTTACATGAAGAATTAAAGACCTTCCAATGGCTGGAAAGGCCTTAACTTTCATTAAGAAAACTAAACCAAAACAACTTCAGATGCTTTATTCATGGAGAATCAACATTTCCTCAGTTTCCTGCAAAGCTCTCTATTCTATTTTAATGATGAGTTTTCTATTGCAACAGACACAACTATTCAAATAAAATGTGTGATGCCTTGTCTACATAGGATGGTTTTCTATTCTAGACAATTGTCTTACACCCTAGAGAAGCAAAATTTATTGCCAAGACCATACAAGTAAATACACAAAACTATTCAAAATCTCAGTTTGTATAATCTTTTACTTTTCTTTTGTTTACAAAAAGGTGAAAGTTTCAAAAATGGTAACTACTTGAATGTAAGTTTGATGTACATTTCTACTTACATCTTCAGCTTTTGAACCTTGATCCTGCAAAGATTTTTGTAGTTCTTCAACCTGGGACTGTACTTCCAGAAGTCTCTGATTTACCAATCTAGGAAAGAGACATGATTTGTTTTTCAGAAAAAAAAAACAAACAAGAACTGCAAGAGGAAGTCTCAGATTTTTAGTATCCAGTGTTTTCAGATCATCTACACAAAAAAAAAATGCAATATTGTAAATTATTCACAAAAAATTACAGCAGTAGTTAAAAGCTCACAGCAGTTCCAGAGATTATAACATCCAGATGTTCATTCATAACATTATCATATTCCTCAAGGACAACATAAATGCATGCAGAAATCAGTTGTATCAGTTAAATCAGTTATAGAAGTACATGCAAGAAGACCTTTTAATAGTCAGTTTTACTGTGTGAGAGCCACTAGTTTATGCTTCTACACTGTTACAGAACCGTATAAATCTGTTGGAAGGGATGTCCACAGGCTGCCTAGAGCCAACATCCTCCTTAAAGCAGGTGCACGTACAGCAGATTGCAGGGAACCATATGCAGCACCAGGTTTGAGCACTTATAAGGACAGAATCTAACAGTCTCTTTGGGTTTCTCTTCTAGAGCTCGGACCCATACCCCATATTTTGTCTTCCACTAATAATCTCTTGACAACAGCCCAAATCTGTCTTCTTTCTACCTTCCCATCAGGCAGATGCAGTTCACAGTACTCTGTCCTTTGGCCTGGACAAACACAGTTCTCAGTTTTATCCCTTCCATCAACACATTACAGTGTCTCTCACCTTAGCAGTATTCTGCTGCACTTCTACATGTCCACATCTCTCTGATACTGTGGAATCAAAAATTACATGCTCTGTCCAGAGGTAATACAGTAAGTACTGATGAGCAATGAACAATCATTTTCTACACCTCAGTGAGGACTGTCCAGATCACAGCCAACTGCAAGGTCCCCATATCCTTTGCCACCCACTAGGACCCCAGAGTTTTTGCAGCAGAGCTGCTCCACAGCCAGAGACAGGGGTCTCATCAGTTCATTTCTCTGGACTGTTGAGATCCTCTGAGTAACAGTTTTCCCTTTCAGGACATCCCAAAGTCCTATCATTCTCAAACTTGTTAAGAGTGTAGCCCCTTTCATCAGTGAAATTGTTAATAAAAGTAATGAACAGTGTTGGTACTGGTACTGATGATGAAGATCTCATTACCAGCTGGGTTTCATTTCACTAATACTATTTTAGGCTCAGGTGTCTGATTACTGTCCAATCAATTTTTTTTGCTCTCTTTACTGTCCATTTATTTAGTTTATATCTAGCCATTTTGAACATCAGGATACCATGGGGCACTTTATCAAAGGCTTTGCTAAAGCTAAGCATTGTCCTCTGTTTCACCCTTCTTCACATGTGCTGTCTTCTCATTGTTAAGACAACTGGATTAGTTAGGCGTGATTTGCTTGGAATAAATCCATCTTGACATTTGCCAGTTACTTTCCTGTCCCTCATGTAGCTGGAAATAGATTCCAGATGTACTTGTTTTCTGAAATTTCCAGAAAGCAAGATGTGGCTCACCAATCTCAATAGTTCTTCAGGCCATTTTGCTTGACCTTCTTGAAGGTGAGCACAGTATTTACCTTTTCTCAGGCTTCAGGCACCTTCCCCAGTTGAAGGGGAAGATTAGATAAAGAACAGATTCAAAGCTTAGATACAAAGCAGCCTCACATCACTAACAGCCAATACTGTGGCATGCTCTGATGCACTCTGTCTGGCCTCACATATGTCTGCATGCTGACTGGCTCAATCCAGTAAGGCCAGCTAGAGAAATCTGCCAAGGAACATGTCCTGTTGAGTTTTAAATATATACAAGGATGGAGACAACCTCCCTGGGCAACATACTCCAGTGTTCAGCAACCCTCACAGTGAAAAAAACTGTACATTCTCAGATTCAGATGAAATATAATGTGTTTTAAGCTCTGACCACACCTTCTTGCTGCATTACTGAGTATTACTGACAAGAGTCTATCTCCACTTTATTTAGACCCTCCCATCATACACTTCAATAAGATACATTGAAAAGATCAAGCCTAAGGCTTCTCTTTTCCTGGCTATATAGTCCCTATCCCTCAGACTTCACTCGTACAAAAGACTCTGCAGTCCTATAATCACATTCTTGTGATAATAGGACTTTCACAGTGCTGATTCCATTAAATCCATGTCTTTCTTCTCTGGGGGATGCCTGTAGGAAGGTCAACTGCAGCACAGAACAAAATTTCTTACCTGTTTTCTGTCTCCAGTTCATTCTTCCGTAAGTTTGCATCATCAAGAAGGCTCTGCAACAAGGCAATCTTCTCATTGTCAGAACCTTCTTGGTTCAATTTTAACATCTTGTTCTCATGCTGAAGGCGGATGAGTTTCTCCCTAAACACACAGAACACAGTTTGTAAAAAAAAGAATACCAGTATCAATAACAAATAAAACAGTTGACCACAGGAAGTAAAACAACAACATAAATATAATATTTTTAAGGCAAATGTTGCAACAATAATCATGTCTTCAAACCCCCAAATATAAATCCAATTTAAGTTGCAATTGCAGAATACAGAACATAAGGAATTACCTCAGTTTCCTCATCAGATCTCAGAGTACAGCTCAACAAATACATAGGGAGAATAGAGAATGCGAAACTTAATACCAAGTGAAGAAAGACTGTAATCTCAGCAGCCACTGAACTACTGCATAAAACTGAGCAAGTAATTTCGACTCTTGGTCTTTTTACACAGAATCACAGAATCACTTGGGTTCAAAAGACTCTTAAGATCATCAAGATCCAACATAAACCCAGCACTGCCAAGTCCACCACAGAACCATGTCCCTTAAGCACCATGACTACACATCTTTTAAATACCACCAGGGATGACAACTCAATCACTTCCCTGAGTTCAATGCTTGATAACCCCTCCTGGTGAATAAATGATTCCTAATATCCAATCTAAACCTCCCCAGCACAGCTTCAGGAAAAATACCAACCTCCACCTCATTATAACCTCCTTTCAGGTAGTTGTAAAGAATGATAAGGTCAACCCCTGAACCTCCTAATATTTAACAACTTCCTGCTCCTCATAGGACTTAACTGTAGACTCTTCTCTAGCTCTATTGTCCTTCTCCAGACATGCTCCAGCCCCTCAATGTCCTTCTTGCAGTGAGAGGGTGCAAAACTGGACACAGGATTTGAGGGGTGGCTTTACCAGTGCCAGTAACAGGAGAACAATCCCTGCTTTGGTCCTGCTGGCCACTCTATTGCTGATACAGGCCAGGATGCCATTGGTCTTCTTGACCAGCTGGGCACTCAATGGTTCATGTTCAGCTGCTGTCAACCAACACTACCAAATCCACACCAGAACAACAGGTGCCACCCACAGGGACCTGGACAAACTGAAGGAGTTGGGCCATGAAAACCTCATGAGGTTCAACAAGGCCAAGTGTAGGTCCTGCACTTGGCCTACGGCAACCCCTGGTATCTGCGCTGAGGGTGAGCAGATGGAGAGCAGACCTGTGAGGAGGATTTGGGGTGCTGGTGGGTGAGAGGCTGGACATGACCCAGCCATGGGCACTCCCAGCCCAGAAAGCCAAACGTGTCCTGGGCTGCATCCAAAGCAGCGTGGGCAGCAGGGGAGGGAGGGGATTCTGCCCCTCTGCTCTGCTCTGGTGAGAGCCCACCTGGAACCCTGCATCAGCACTGGGGTCCCAGCATAGGAAGTATGTCAACTAATTCAAGTGAGTTCAGAGGAAGCTGCTAAGGGGATCACAGGAATGGAACACCTCTATTAAAGCAAGCTTAGAAAGCTGGGGTTGAGGTTGTAGATCAGACTCCAGGGATACCTTAGAGCAGCCTTACAGTGCCTGAAAGGAGCCAACAACAAAGCTGGAGAGGGATTTCTTACAAGAAGGTGGAGAGACAAGACAAAGGAGAGTAGTGTTAAACTGAAAAAGGGTGGTTTAGATTAGATATGAAACAGAGATTCTTTACTTTGAGGGTTTGGAGGCAATGGCAAAGGGAGTTCTGAGTGCCCCATACCTGGCAGTGCTCCAGGCTAGGCTGGATGGAGATTGAGCAACCTGGTCTACTGGAAGGTGTCCTTGCCCATGGCACAGTAGGTAGAACAAGATGATCTTTAAGGTCCCTTCCAACCCAAGCTGTTCTATGACTCCACAATTACTTCCCACTGTGTGTCTTTTCAGCCACTCTTCTCCAATCCTGCAGAACTGTACTGGTCATTGTGATCCAAGGGCAAAACCTTGACCATGCTGAACTTCATACAATTGTCCTCCGTCCACTGATACAACCTGTTCAGATTCCTCTGCAGAGCCTTTCAATCCTCCAGCAGATCAATACTGTCCTGAGCAACTCAAAATGTTACTGCATTCATATCTATCTGTGCCCAAAATTGTTACTGTCTTCCCGCAGCTGAGAAATAGAATGGTGGGGCAGGAGCTGAGGGGTTGCCCCAGACTCTAAAAGTGAAGCACTCTGGCAGAGTCACTCTATGCCCACTTGGCTTGACTCTTGGTTCTTTCTTACCCGTACTTACTACAGTAATAAATTAGATGCTCTATTTCACAATCAAAAGCTGTTTCAGTGTATTTTACTACACCTGTCTGCAGCCACTCCCTCAGTATCCTTCAGTGGATTCCACCCACCCCTATGGACCTTGTGGGTGTCTAAGTGGCACAGCAGGTAGCATAGCTGTAGCAGGCACAGCGGAGCTGTTCCCTCCTGTGTTGTGGCAGCTTTATTCAGCTTCTTGCATCTGTCTTCCAGGTCAGCAGTCTTACTACCAAAGATTGTGGCAACAAAGGCTTTAAGCAGATCAACCTTCTCCTTGTCCTTTACTGGTATGGTTCTCCTTGCAATCAGTAAGGGACTGAGATTCTCCTTAACCCTCATTTAATTGTGAATGTATTTATAGAAAAATTTTTATTGTCTTCTATTGGCAGTAGCCAGAATGAGATCTAGTAGGGTTTTGGCCCATTTAATTTTCTCCCTGCATAACAGCACATCTCTGTAGTCCTCCAGAGTGGCTTTGCCCCTTCTTCCAAACACGATACAATCTTTTTTCCCTCAGTTCTGGACAAAGCTTTCTGTGCAGCCAAGCCAGTCTTCCTGATGGCTCACCATTTGGCTCATAGAAACAGCCTGCTCCTGCATCTTAACAGCTCCTTCTTAACCTCCCTTCCTCGTTTGCCCTTTAGGGACTGACTTCCAAGCAACTCTGTCAACCAGACCCCTAAATGGGTTAAAGTCTGCCCTACAGAAGTCCAAAGCAGAAGTTCTGCCAACCTCTCTCCTTAATTCTCTGTGAATCAAAAACTCTCTCATTCTGTGCCCAAGATGTCCTCTGATCACATCATCCACCAGTCCTTTCCTGTTCACGAACAGTGAGTCCACATCTTCCCTAGTTGGCTTGCTCAGCAGCTGTGTTAGAAAGTTATCTTCCACACAGTTCAAGAACCTTCTAGACTGATCCCTTTCTGCTGCGCTGCATTTGCAGCAGCCATCTGGGAATCTGAAGTCCTCCATAAGAAAAAGGGCCAGCAATCTCAAGAACTCTCCCAGCTCCTTGTAGTATAGTATCGTATCCTAGACAAGTCTATAACGTGCCCACCAGAATATCTGCCTTGTGGCCTTCCCCTTAATTCTTACTCATAAATACTCAACTCTCTTGGTACCATCACCAAGCTACAGGCAATCAGAACAGGGCAACAAGAAGTACCTTTTTCTAATATCCAACCTAATCCTTCCCTGACAAAAATTCAGACCATTTCCATGGGCCCCGTCAGTGGTCACAACAGAGAAGAGATGAATGTTTGTCCTTCCTCTTTGTCTCATGAGGAAAGTTAAGATCTCTGCTCGGTCTCCTCCTCTCCAGGCTGAACAGATCAAGTGACCTCAGCTACTCATCATATAGATTCACTCAAGGCCCTTCACCATGCTTGTGGCCCTCCTTAGGATGCGAAGAGTTTTATGTCTTTCTCATATTGTGGCATCCAGAACTGCACACAAGACTCTGTCCCAGTGCAGAGCAGAGCAGGACAATCCCCTCTCTTGCCTGGCTGGTGATGCTATGCCTGATGCCTGCAAGGACACAGTTGGGCCTCCTGGCTGCCAGGGCACGGCTAGTTAATATCCAACTTGGCACTGACAATTGTAGAGGTTAGAAAAACAAAGCATGCATTAGCTTACTTTATTTCAGGAGTAATGATTTCTGCTGCTAAACTGTCTGAAGGTTCTTGTCTTCCCAGAGGCATCAATCCTGAGTAAGGAAAAGCATACCACTGACTTTTTCACATGCCAAGAAGTAGACATTGTTCTAGAAGTTTCACACTACTGCTCAACAATGTAAAATGATACAAAATCAGGCAAGATGAACAGACAAGCACCATTTAATTTGGTGAACCATTACATCTGATTTCACCCATTCTGAAGAAATAATGTTGCAATGTAAAATGTAAAATGACACAAAACCAGGCTACAGCAAGACAGACAGATAAGCACCATTTAATCTGGTGAACCATTATGTCTGATTTCACCCATTCTGAAGAAATAATGTTGCAGTTTATTTCCTACTTGTTAATCTTATCTAAGAACTACAAAAGTACACACGATTACACATACAAATGAACTATAACACAGGAAACATGAGAAAATATGTCTCTAAAGAAAACAATGTAACTACATAGAAATTAGATATACATTATAAAAATATCCCACTGGAGAGGAGAGTTAAAATTTCTGATTGACTCAACGTTCAAAGCTTTTGCCTGCTTATGAAGCTATGAATAGTTGAAGTTTTTCACTGCTGATTTTAGAAGAGCTTAAATTTATTCTGTGCTAAACAAAAGCACATTCAATACTCTACAGAAAACTTGTGCACACTTTAGAAAAGAGGCATTTAATCTCCTTATTTGTCCTTTACCTGTAGTGGTGAGTTGACCCTCCTGAGCTTGTACACATCTAAGTTCTTCAATAGTTTCTTTCAAAGAATCCCTTTCTGTTCTTAATCTCTGAAGAATTGGAAAGAGAATTAATATCAGTCTTGGCAGTCCAAATCTATCTCTAACAGCCTTCAAAATTAAAAAAATTATTTAATGTAATTCTAGAAACTACATTCAACTTAAGGTATCTCAGTCTATTCCATAACAGAATAAATATAAGTATTATATATTCCACAGGAACAGTAGTTTGGGGGTTTTTCAGGAGAAGGACTGCTGATCTTATTGGACTAAAAATAGAATGGGTATAAGCTTACAAAATCAAGTTATTAGTGACACAAAGTTCTGGTACCAGGTAGTCAACAGTATCCACGGGACCACTCAGCTGTTTTCCTTTCATTAGGGTTGATTCCAAGGGAAATGGAAGACAGCTGAGTGACCATATATTTCTTCATCACCACAAATCAAAGATTCAGCCAGGAGTGAAATAAAGAGCAGGTAAGTACAGAGTCAACATAACAAAATGTTTTTACTCCATGTTTTTTGTCTTTTACCACTGAAAGTGTAAGCAACATTTCCATGTCACATTCCTCCTGTGTGTCAGCTGTCCATGTCATTCACCAGCATCTTGGCTATGAAAGAAAACTTGTTGCATAAGACTCGGCCAAAGAGAACTGAAGAACAGGACTGGATCACCCGGGATTCAGAGAGATGTGCTATTCAGTAGCATCAGGCAAATACTCTTTAAATTTGGCACAACTACGCTTCTGGCGAAAAAATGAGAATCTACAGGTAGCACCAAATTTTTTTCCAGAAGGTTGCCAAGAATCAAAAAAAGGAAAGAAACTGGCTACTATGTAATGATTCATGTTGTAGTTTGCTCCAAAATCAGCCATGTTCAGTATTACTCAATGGTCCAAGATAGACCTTTCCTCTGTATAGGTACGGAGTTGTGTTGGCTGATAGCATTTCATTTTACTAACTCTTGATTGCCAAATGCCAGAATATTTTAATGACTACAAAAAGCTCTAGGGCTTCACTGCTACAAGCAGTTCAATAATTATTGTAGTACTTTTAACACACCACAGAGGTAAAATTCTAGGCTACTTTGATGAAGATATCAAACACTACCATGGTTCGCCAGAACATAAGGAAAAGAATATAATAAGTTTCAGTAACTATTTCCGAAATATGGTTGACCAGATACCACTACCTAGTTATAACTCGTGGTGGGCTACTTTACTGATACATATTGACAACAGAGAACAGAAAAAGTCATACAGTGAATCATGAAACTCACATGATGAGGGAATTCTGGCTGTTATTTACTTCTCACAGGTGCATATCCATTCAAAAGAATGTACTTAAGAACAACATCCAGCTCAAAAAAGAAAAAAGCTATTTGCCAGGCAGTAAATCAGAAAACTATATGACAATGGCCTGCAATTCAGATCCTTTGTGCAAGATGAAATGGTCCACTGAGCCATGGATAAGCCATAGAAACATCTTTACCATTGTTCAACATAAAAGAATTGGGAAAAAAAAACCCAATTTAAAAACCAAAAAGGAGGAAAGAAAGCCAAAGCACAATACCAACACAGTTATTATGAGCATTCCAGCCTGATTTGAAGGGCAGATGGAAGTGATGTGAAAGTCAAGTGTCCATTGGAGCTTGAAAATTTAATAAAAAATGGAAATCATGGCCTATGAATATAAAGTAACTGAAAAGTTTCCGTTCAAATATTTAAGATCTGGGCTTGGAAATCTTGGAAATAACTGGACATGAAGTATGACTACTGCATAAAAAGCCTACAGAGTTTCTGGATCAATGGACTTATAATTAAAACACACCTAAGAAACTGCTAGCTGCAATTGCTGACATTCATTTTAGGTACTCTGAACCACCTGTATATACATTCCTAAGAAACAAGCTGAAATTAACTGTTGAGAAATGACAGTGCGTAAGTGAAGTCTGAAGGGTAAGTCTCAGCAAGAGAGTAGAGAGCAGTTAATCACAGAATCACTAGCAGCAAATGACACAAGAGCAAGGGGATAAATTGCTATCTACCCTGAATGTTCCACACTGGCAGTACAAGATAGGTCAACAAGGAGCTGTCATAAAAGGTGAGATTGCCAGAAAGGACATTTCCCTCTACACAGCTACTAAGCCCCTTGCTACACTATTGATAACTCCAGAAAGAGAAGCATGTTGATGGTACCTGAAAGAATGCCTTAGGGAAAAAAAGCAACAGGAATTTAGTTCTAGGATGATACTGCAGAAACCCTGTTGTAAATAGCTTTTCGGAATACATAGTAATCACCCTGGGTATTTATTAACTTTCTCATTGCAAGCGGTCAGGAAACAACTTCAGATGCCAAATATCAAGGGTATTCCTCTTAAAAATGGGTTGCATATAATTTTGTACAGTCACTTTATTCCATGCTGTACAATTCTTAGGTTTAAAAACTGTCTTGTACACAAACATTAGAAAATTTTGGAAGAAAAAGACTTCCTAATTTAAAAAGATGGCTAACTATAATTACCACATCTCTGTGTTATAAAGGATACAAAGTTTCTATTGTTACTAACAAAAAAATAACACCTTGGCACTTACATCTTTTTCTTTTTGGAGGCTGTCTACTTTTTCTTTCAGTCGTTTGCATTCATAATCTAATTTATCAGCTTTCTTGGATTCTTCAGATAACCTGTTTTGTAGTTCAACTGCCTGTGAGAACAAGAATCAATAACGTGTCTGCAAATGTTAAAACAAAATACACAAGACAAAGTAGCCAATTACAGTGCACCACAAGTCATGTCGTAAAACAAGTGAAATGGTTACTTATAGGACATACTAAAAACTTCTTTCATCAGTTGTTCTGTGTTTCAGCAAAATAAAAAGCATTCAAATGGTCTTAGTGCAAGCAAAAGATAGAAAAAATGTGAAGTATTTTTAGTACATCTAAAACAATAATTTAAGCTCAAGAAGGTTTACAGAAAAAAAACCCATATAGTTCTAGGGATCAATAAGATTAGGAACAGCAGAAAAATCTTTCTGTGTTCTGAAAAGCCTAGTAAAAAGAAAAGACTCTGAAGAAAACAAATTATCTTATATTTTTTTAACTTTACTTCATAAGCCTCACTCAGAATTCAGCTACTAGTTTATGCAGCCAGGTAACATTCCCTGAGATGTCCTAGTAATTTTTAATGCACTAACACAAATATTCAGTCACAGGCTCCAAAAAGTTTTCTTTATTTCAGTGAGAAACGCTACCATATGTATGCTTTCAACTACAGATCAGTAAAGAACTCTTAAAATTAAGTGACCAGAAATGTGAAAGTGTGCACAACAGAAGGTAAATTGGTGAAGTCTTCCCTTTTCAACACTTTCAGCCTTTACTAGCAAAGATTAATTCCCAGAACACTAGTAAACCTCATAATGCAGACAGCATGAGAGCAAATAAGCTAAATAAAGACTGGCCTGCAAATACAAAAGCTGAATGAAGACTCAGCTAAAGACCTACAGCTTCTTCTAAATCAGTTTATAAGAAGGCTTTTTCATGGCTTTTAGATTACAAAGGAAGTGACTAAAGCAGTAGCCATATCTATATCAAGACTCCCCGGTGGTTCTAATGACCTTTTATTTTCAACATGTACAACTATAGCAAAATAACTACAAGACCTAAAATATGCATGGTCCTAAGTCTTAGAGATGGACTTTGCTGCTGTTGTTCCTAAATTAAAAGCTGCAAAAACAGACCTGCCTATTCTGAGATTAAAGAAATATGAAAATATTTAATTTTTCAGATGTGACATTTATCACTGAGGGTATCAGAATAACTGCAGGCCTTCATCAGTGACAGTGCCATTACTTGCAAAATATTAGTATTTTCACCTCAAATGGAAATAAATTTATGTTTATACATTTATGTTTGTAACCAATCATGCATAGGTAATGGTATGTAGAAAAACACAGCAAGAAATAAATTTGCCTTGAATTAGGACCTGTGAGTGTACAGAAAAACATACAGTTTCATGGTAATGCAGAAGATTAAAAAAAAAAAAAAATGAACTGCCATCACATTTACTAAGCATTATCTGCATGTGGAATGAATAAAGCAGGAATCTTGCAACAAAGAAAAACAAGACATACTGTTAACTATGCATCAGAATGCACATGCACAAAGGGGCTGAATTAAATCACGAAAAAAAAATAACTCCTGCAGTCTCTGTATTTTAATATTTATGCCAAAATAAAGTTTCTTAGAAAAGGCTTGTGCTTGCTCTCAGAAGAGTGAAAACAAAACACCACCACTCAACCTCACAGAGACTGTGAGGTGAAGATGAAATTTCCTTGGAGATTACTATAGGAATTTGAATGAACCACTTTCATCTGCATAGCATAATGATTCTAAGCCAAAGAAATAATTCTCTAATGGTGTCCTCATGAGTCAGGTTAGATCCTTCGAACACCAGACAAGACATATTCCATTACAGGAGCACACTAGTACTCAGCAGTGACGTAACATCACAAGCCTTATATCAGCTTCCTTCTAATAGCACAATTTAATATTCCCAGAAAAATAATTTTGTGGCTTAGGAGTCTCAAAGATAGGTCTCAAAAGGAGCCTGGTCTTAAAGACACTGAAGACAAACACAGAGTGTTCATTTTGAGACACCACAGTTAAGTGAAGAAAACCAGATCTGCCACAGGACACCTGAGGCTAATTTTCCAGTCTCAGTCAGTAAACAGTTTTGTACCAAACAACAGCTCCTCATACAGGAAATCCTACGCATAGAATAAAACTGAAGAAAATAAGTACTTTAGCAGCATTGATGGAACTGGCCCTTCCAAAATCCTTTTGGTTGGTGAAATAAGAAGAATCAAATTCAGATGTTGAGGTTACACAACAATATCACATGTTCAGCTGTTTAACCGAGTGAAATATTAGGTTGCCAGTAAACTTCATACTATTCATGTGTGGAAGGCCATTTCTTTCTATATTTTCATTTATCTTTGCCCCCTTGGACAATTTTTCTTGCACAAGTTCTTTTTTTCTGGTAAAATCATTTGGGCTTTAAAATCATTTGTATTTAAAATTAGTTCACATAGGCTGAAACAATTTGTTTTAAACACTGAGATCGCCAAGTGCAGGGAAAAAAATCTATCAAGTCTTAGGAGACACATTGCTCCTGAGCTTTCAGTATTGTTAGTGCCTATTTCTATACTTTATTCTACAGTAAACTGACATACAGGGACCCCTGTGCTTGATCATTTGATCAGGCAGAAATACAGAGCAGGCACTACAGCTTTAATAAACCATGCTCTGTCTAGCCCTGTAACAAGAATACCAGAACGATATTGTGTCCCTGAAGTACAAAAGCAGAAAGAAGATTAAGCACATCTTCCACCTTTACAGAAGCAGCATCACACGGCACTTGGATAAGCAGGAGGATAAACAGGTGCCTAACACACCACACAGTGTGCTGCTGACACATTTTTTTATTCCACTAGGTGCATATAAACAAGGATGACATGTGTCCTTCTGTCTTCTTGAGTGGAAAAATCCAGATGGATCAGAGAAACTAAAACCTTAAAAAAAGAAGTTATTTGACCACAGGAACAACTTACCTCAGCTGTGGTGTGTTCCTTACTGCTGGAAAATTATAAGTGAAAAGTGGATACTTTTTCTGAAAGGATAGCCTCTGTTCTAGCCTCGCTACTGAATATAAATTTGGAATCATTTTAGGAAAAAAAAAACCAAACACTTTACATCTGCTGAGTTTTTAAATGCAAGAAATACTGCTTTTTGACAAACTTGTAGTCATGACAGGAGTTGCAGGAGGAAAGGAAAGGAGGACAAGGTAGCAAGCACCTATAAAGCATGGGAGAGTTTTTAAAACAAGAGTTTTTTTTTTCATAGCTTTTTTTTACTTTGAGGTATTAGCCATATTATGAAGAAAAAGTGCTGAACAATACAGAGTACTATAGCATTGATGATGCCTGTCCTCACCTGTCTTTTGTATGTTTCCAGCTGACTGCGTGCTGCGTTGGCCTTCCTTAGTTCTTCCTCCAGGCTCACAGTGTTTTGCATGTACATTGTATTCTTCTCTTCTAAAAGCTTCACTTGCCGCCGCAAATCACCCAGGTCTTCCAATTTCTTTTTGTATGATTCTACCTGGCTTTCTAACTTGGCTACTTTATCAGAAGAGTGCCTGAAGGGACAGATTTGTATCAAATTTGAACTTTGAAAACTAACAAAACTAACAGAATTTAAAATGCTTCTTCACAGTTTTTTCTTAATGCAAAAGACATGCATGGAAGAACAATATAGCAATCACATCCTCCTCTTACTGATGTTTTCACTTTTAATTGTCTGTTTTCTTCCCATAACTGTTTGTCAACTCAAGAGCTGATGCTGAAGGTTCTTTTAGGCCCTATCTCTCTTCCTAACAGAACTTTCTTATCTGCTTCCAACCTTAAAATAATAGCTAAAACAATCTCACTCCCACTCATTTCCTTTCAATTCTAAATTATCTTCTGTCCTAAATTTTTCAAGGGTAAAGAAGAATAGTTTCTGCTATTCAGTTCATTTTAATAATAACCAGGACTAAAATCATAAAGATCTCTCTGCTAGACAAATTGTACTTGGTGACACAGAAGCACCGTAAGTTTTGAAACTTGATTCCTTATTAAAAAAAAAAATAAATAAAAAAGAAACACCAGGCTTCAGCTTTTCAGAGTTTTATCAATCTACCTGCCGCACTTCCAAGATTACAATGGACCTCACGTCCCCCAAAGACCTCTGCCATTACTGTTCCCAGTTTCATTTTAGAATCAACCAATTTACAGACCCAATTTCTTGTGGAATCTAGGGAATCTCCTACTGAATTAATGTGTCAGTTTATGGAACATTGAGGTACGCCAGTTTAATCCTCAGTGAGGTGCAGGGCCTCTCTCTTGGGACAAGGAATTGCTCTTTGAACCCATGCTTCCTACAAAATTTATGCAGCCTGATAGGTTCCTTCCTTGTATTAATGACAGAAGGGATAAAAACAGATAGCTTTGGTAGAAGGCTGCTAGTGAATCAGGAATAGCAGTATTAAGTAAGTCTTGCTGAAGAGAATGAGTAACTGCTCTGAATAACCCATGGCAATAGATGCAAATACTGAAGGAATATGCTCCATAGTAAAAGTGGCTGTCCCACTCCATAAATACATAGTATCATCAAATCATGACAACTTTCATTGCTAAAAATCCAGTGGGAATAAGAGCTGCAACAGATGTTGTTCCACACTAATATTACATGATAAACCAAAAGTACCACCCAAGTCCAAACAAAACAAATCCTGGAAAGAAAACAGCCTAGTTTTCTGTTGAGATGCCTGAGGTATGATGAAGGTGAATACTGCATACTCAAAGAGACCAGTGGGTGCCCTGTTATAACCATGAATTGGCACAGAATTACTAAGTTTATCAATAGTTATTGATTAGGTACAAAATAAGCAACTACTGTACTCAAGCAGAATTGTGTGTAGGTCTGTGTACATAACTAGAGCATCCAAAGAATCTTGCCATTAAAAGCACTTAATATTAAATTACTGAAACAAAAGATAATGTAGATTAAGTACACAAATCATACAGATTAAAAGGTAGTAGTTAAAAAAGAGTTAATGGAACAAAATTTACCTGAGTACATCTATCTCATCCTTCAAAGACTGAGCCTCCTCTGCCAGTGTAGTAAGCTCTTCTGTTTGTTGTCTCAATTCCGCAATTTCCTTTTCTAGTTCTTCACAGCGTATTCGATAGTCATCTTTTGCAGCTTCTAATCTGTAAGAATGAAAAGAAATCCAGATGAGAAAATAATTTCTCATCCTGAGCCACAGTTACCTTTCCTCATCATCCCCTCTAAGAACACATAAAATGGCCTCCTACTGCAGTGAAGGAAAACAACAACACAATGTGCTTATTCAAAATGTAAAAGCAGATTAACTTCATCAGTGCTCCCAATTTAATATCAGTCTTTCTATTTGAAAATTCACAAGGTAACATATGTTCTCATAAAAACAAAACCTGAGGTTTATTTCTATAACAGTAGCTTTTCACAAGGGAAGCTTAAGGAGAAATTTTAATATTTTTTCATCTTCAGACACTCAGAGTTTGAACATGACATCTTTATTCTATTCTGTTCAGCTACCCCACTCATCTACTTCCAACAATGATCTGATTGTAAAATGTTATAAATGCCATAGACCTCTCACTGAAGTGGCTTTATTTATTTACTCATAAAGAACCTGTGTATGCCCCGTACATCTGGAGAACCAGGCTATCTAGTTAGCAAGTAAACAACTCTGACCAAAGTTGTTAAACTGCTTGCATACACTATGCATAGCCAAAGCTCTATTAACTTGGCAGTGAAGAAAGTAACAAACTTTTTCAGTGTATTCTGAATGAATGGAAGAGGACACAACCTAGAACAGAAAGTCCTACTGTGAGTTTGCTCTGAAATTAAAACATAAACAATCCAAGATAAGAGATAAGGGCATGATGAAATAAAAAGTTAAGGAGTCCAAGAACAATCTACAAGAATGGAAACAAGAGCAAATCTTTGAGTCATTCAAACTGGAAACAATTAAGATTTGGATCATGACAGACCAGGACAGTCAAAGGACAAAGAGGCAAGAGTAGGAAGAAAAGTGGTGTACCACACTAGGCACCAGTTAAGCTGTACGTAAGTCCTGTTTGATCAGGTAGAGCTGGAAGCAACACATACAAATTGCCATTAGGAGCCACATAATATGAATACAAGGGAAGGAGGTAAAGGAGACCAGAAATGAGTCTCACATAAGAAAACAGTTTAGAACGACCTTCAGAACCTGACAACTACAGTAACAGATGGTGCAGATATTGAACACAGGGACACAATCTGTTTTAACAGTTATTGACACCAGACTCAGGTAAGAATTACTGCAGAGCATGGAGATGAATCAGAAGAGATTAAAGGGGACATCACCATTACTTTATTCCTTTACATGGGAGATGTATAAAAAGAAAAAATCCAGGCACTAACTGTTGTGATGGAGAAATACGGAATGTTTTTCATGGAACTAATGGGAGATGATATGTCAGAATAAGCAGGAAAGGAGTCTTAGCAAGAGGAATTGGAAAAATGGCAAAATAGGAAAAAAAGGAAAGTAGTGCGACATATAGAATTGGGAAAAGGCAATAAGAAGAAGGTAGCAAAAGAAAAACTGGCAGTGTAAAGAAAGAAATACTGTAAATTCACTCACAAAGGAGAAGGAAAGTATGGGAAAGAGAATGAAAAGGTTATGGTGAAGTGAAGCAGTGTTCTTCAGCAGAACAGGCTTACACAGCCTGAACACAATAGTCAAGAGTACTAGGAAGGATGTTTAAAGAGGAACTGTATTTTCACACACTGGGGAAATGTAAATAAACTCACAGATGGATAATCTGCATCTTTCGTTATCTCTGAATTTGTTTTCAAATTCACAGAAGGACATATTTTACCCTCTGATAATGCCACTAGCAGTACAGCCTGTAGCAAACTTTCATCTAGAAATTACTAGTCCTTAAAAATACAATCAGAATAATTTGCAAAAAGGAAAGCATGCCGCTTTTCATTTTCACTGACTTTGCAAAACATGGGTGACATGACTGCACGCAAACAATTTAAAGCAACTCACAGTAGAGTGACATATAAAGCACTTCAGCATTAAGAAACTGCACTTTTTAAAATGCTGGATCTTGTAAAGAGCAAAATGATAATGTATATATCACTTTTAAAACTGTACTACTGTGGCTATACAACATCCATTAGGCTAATTCACATTTGCAGCAGAACCATCTTAGAAACATCTAAGTCATCTCTATTGCCAGTTACAAACAACCTAACCAAGCGTAGTTTTTCTACCTGAATGTTTCCTCTTGGAGCTGTTCTAGTTGTGTCTGCAGCTGCAGGTGTCTACGACCTGCAGGACTGTTGGGATCTTCAATGGAATCAGATTGATTTAAACGTTCCATCAAAATCTGGTTTTCAGCAAGCAGGCTGCTCTTTTCCTCTTGAAGGGCTGCAACCTGTTGTAATAAAAGTACGAAGAGGAATAATTAACCTACCCAGGTACAGAGAGCAGTATTTTTTCATGTTCATAATGAAGTATCAACAGATGCCACAAACAGAAACATGCAGGCTTCACAAATCACATTTTACAAGAATACACTGTATTATTTAATAGATATTCAATTGCTATGTGATGTAACCAACATATTGCAACATTAGGTGCAGAGTTACTATCAGGAAACATAATTATTCTTTAATGTATTTCACACAAGCATTTAAAGAAAAAGTCTGTTATGACAGCAGGTAACTTCATTATAATAAAACCTGCATAATTTCCCTAGAAACAAATAAAACTAGCTCTTCACAGTAAAGGCCATCTGCAAGCAGGCTGAAACAGGAACACAGTCCTGAAGATAGCTCACTTCCCACTAGCACTGTGAAAACAGGTGGTAGTGGAAAGAACCCAAAGTGCTCCAGGACCTGAAACATGAGTTCATATATTAACCACAACAAAGATCAGCTCTTTTAATTCCAACAGTTACTGAACTACAGGAAACCTGAATTAGTATTCCAAAGTAGGGTTGCAGTATCAGTCCAGGGCTCCTCCTTCACACTCCTCATGTCTTCCAGATGAGCACTGATTTACTTACAGGTAAGATTTAGTCTAAATCCATACTCATTTAATGGTCTACAGCAACTTCTGACTGGGATTTAACTATTAGCTGGTACCATTACAGCAGCAGAACTTTATTAGTTCTCCACGGCAACAGTTCTACCACAGAGCTCAAACCCTTCCTAACCTAAGGAAAAGAAGTTTTGCTTCATAATACTGACAAGACAGCAACAAGATAAGAAAACAATTATATTCATTCTGCTAGCACAAGTGAAACCAAAACAATTACTGTGACATTTTCACCCCCCTTCTAAAAATTACATTTCAATACGCTAGTGCTTATTTTCAGCCACCTAAAAGTTCACACATCTTTTCTCCATATCAAAATTGATACAGACTCTGTAGCAAACTTACCTGCATATCTAACTCATGACATCTCTGGGCAATTTCTTCTTTTGTTGCAAGTGCTTCATTTAATTCTTCTGTAGTTTTCTTCAGCTACCATAAACAAGAAATGTTTATATTTTCATCACTCCTTGTGATCCATTTAAAAATATTCTGAACTACAGCCTGTAAATTTATTTTTACATTGAGGTAATACATTAAATTTTTAAAAACTGAGCAATTCTGCTCATATAAAGAAAAAAATAAAGCCGATGTGAATACTGTTTAGTTTGTCTATCTGTAAAAAGTAAACATATCTAAAAGTAGTATTTGCTTTTACATTAGAGTTATTGCATCTACTCTATAAACTGAGTTAAAAACTCAAGGAGAAATTGGGTCTGAAGAACTCACCAAATCTCTACATCAAAAAAACCTGTCAATACCACTTTTCTTTACAGACACAAAGACTATGTAGTTTCAATTTTCAATCTACATTTCAAATACAGAAAGGACTGGAAGGTGGAATACAGGGAATGGACAATTAGGGTGAAATCTTTCTAGTCTCTGGAAGCTACTTCTAGTGCACAACAGGAATAAAACTAGTATGTAACAGATGAGCCTACCCTTTAAAAAAGGGCACTGAATCTTATAAGCAGTGGGAAATATTCTGATACTTCCTTTCAAAGGCTGAATGTTTAAAGATATGTGTCTCAGTGGTTTGCAAATGAATGCAGTTAAGATAACAGAAAACAAAGCTACAAATTAATAAAATAGGTCTGATAAAATAGGTGCATGCATGTTATGTATATAGATAAAGATACATATGTTTTATTATATATATATGAATATATATATATATGTTCTATTATATATATATGAAGTTTAAATGAGCTTTCTCAAACAATATCACCACACCTTGCATTTGCAAGTTTACTTCTTACATGCCTGTTTACATACAAAGAATTAATTTCATCTGCAAGAATTTACATATTTCTGCAGAGAAAACATAATGGATTAATAGAGTGAGCACCACTGTACTATTCTTCTTACTATAACGAAAAAAATCTGAGGAAGTAGGACAGTGTTAGCATGAGGATAAGCTAGTAAAAAAACAATTTGGTTTGTACATTTTTTTTAGATATATCAGACTGGAAATGATTGTATTTGAAAACTTCTATTTTGCAGCACTTCCAGGATTCCCATAGAAGCAGGTCTTTTTTTTTTTTTCTTTTTTTTTTTTTTTTTTTTTTTTTTTTAACTGACATTGGAAATAGGAACTCAGATAAAAACATTTAGTCAAATAGTACATATTTTTTTTTTTTTTTTAACTGACATTGGAAATAGGAACTCAGATAAAAACATTTAGTCAAATAGTACATATTTTTATCTTTCTCCATGCCTAAAGATTTGTATCAATCTGTAATTTTGCACTATTATGTCATACAGCTAGACTGGTTTTTCAAACCAAATTTCTACATCCTTTAAATACACAGTAGAAGTAAAGTCAATTTACAAAGCTAAAGGATAGTGAGATTTAGTTTTTCACTTCTTATTTTACTTTTCCAGAACACCCTTAATAATTAAAGAATAAAAAAAAAAAAAAGACTGAGTTCTTAACATGCCCACTGACATGCTATGGTTGAAAGAAAAGAAACATCTAGTCTTAGATACCTGCCGATCAAGGTCAATGTAAGCATCATTTCCAACAGAGACTGGAGACTCTTTACTCATCAACTGCAATTAGATTACAGTGGATTAGAAAAAGCAAATATTTACTTTTATATTAAAGCCTAAGTTTCAATGAAATACCAAGCTGATTTTTACTTTTGGGAGCTTTAATCTGAATTAATTTGAAAGTTTTTAAGTTCATTTTTATATATAACATATTCAGAAACAAGAACAAGAGAAACTCTTCATAATTTGCAATATTTAGAGTGCTATAAAAGAAACCTTACATTATCTCTTTTTGACAATGCACAGTCTTTGTCTATGATAAGCCTACAGAACATCCCACTAAAGATTTTACTGCAGTAGCATTGGAATGATAGTAGATATCAACACACCATGCGAGACCCAGCTTTAATTTTTCTCTGCTACTGAGTGGCTTTTTCATATTTCCATTACCTAGATATTAACATTAATTTAATTATTTATTCTGCTCAACTCCAGGACATATCTATCTCAACTATTAGTGCAAAACAAAGGTGACAGAAGTTCTGTTCTGGAGTTGTCTGTAATTTTCAACCTTAAAAAGTAATTCAGTACAGTGCATTCCTGAAAAGAGTATTACAATTCTTTGTGTACTACTTCAGTGCAGGAATACCTGATAGTGGTTTTGGCCTAGATTTTTAAAAAACCAAAACAACAAAACAAAACAAAACCAGTCAAACCCTCAACACAAATCCTCAAATTAATCCTACAAAACTGACTGATGTACTGAACAAAGGAAAGAAAAAAGCTGGTAAGTTTTCTTATAGCAACCCAGCTGCACCAGCTGGCAAAAGTGAAATAAAACCTAGCAAAAGTTGTAGCTCAGCAACCTCCTCCCACACAGCTCAAGCAAACATAATAAAGTAATGTTCTCACTAAAAGTTGTACGGCAAATACAGGAACAGTCTTGCAAATGAGAAATACGCTGTAACTAATTCAAAAGGCATCATTACAGAATGGCACTAATGGTTTCTGTCCAAACTCATAATCTCCTAAAAGCTTGCCAATGATGCAATTCATGAAAGTTACAATTAAAAAGGCCCTATCCTAACCAAAATCAGGATACATTTTCTTCCCTGGAATGTCCTGTCTAGCCTGGTAACTCTCTCCAGAGACAATACTTTATTCCTTCTGGAAGTCAGTGCTTTTGCACTATTTTCCTTAGCAAGGTCTTGTGGGATACACAGACTTTCACTTCTCAACCCTGCTTATATCATCATGTGCAAATGAAAAATCTGTTAGACATTTACATCATTCAAGTAATACTCACATTTTTCTCACTTTCCCCATTTCCTTAACTAGGATTTAGCTGCATTATTTAGATTAATCTATCTCTCCTCAGCAGTCCTCCTCACACCTTGACAACATTTGCCAAATTTTTTCCATTTTCTTCTACACCTTTACAATGGCAAACTACTCCATGAAGAAGCATTACATCAAGCCCAAACTCTGCAACAATAATTAGAAAGTCCCTAGCCTCAGAGCTGTCCCCTGAAAAATTAAGTCTTGTCTTTTTCAATACCATGAAATTGAAACATCTTCAATTTAGAACCCTATTTTCTAAGCTGATTATCATTTAAACAAAACCTTCCAATCCTTCCCTGCTCTGTGATGCTCATGACACACTGAACACTGCATTTCACCAGCTTTTCCAGGTGACTAAAAGGGATATCCCATATTAGCCAAATACTCTACTCCTCTCAGTATTTTATATTCCACAACGCTGTTCACAAACACACTTTGGACACAGCTACTCATACACATACAGGTAAGTTTCCCCTGCTAAGTCAGTGCTTTCCAACAGGCAGTTCCCATGCTGTATGCAGCCTGCAAGGGTGTACAACAGTGTGGCCCTAACAACCACCGCCCCTTTCTGTCCCTGTCACAACTTTCTCTTTGAAAAACCAGTTTAACAGGCCTGTCCAAGACTTGGAGTAGAAGGATGACAAGTGACCACAGAACCCACTAGAGGCCACTGTAGTGTCATTGCTTTCTGTGACTTGCCATAAGGCAGGCCATGGCTAATAATATAATTCCTATTTTCTTCAATAAGTTTTGCCATCTCTCCCAAAACATCCTGTCCTTGAAGAACTCTTAGCAGAAATGTCCGGCAAATAAGGACATTATCTGGAGTAGGATTAGATGCTGGAGATAAATATTCTGGGTGTACCATGAATGCATACTGCATGTGTAAATTTCACTCCATGGGGTTCATTGAGAATGTTATGGGGAAATGTGAATGAGGCACCAAGGGCAAGAGCCACAGATACATGTGCAAATGTATCTCATGTGCAATAGAAAGCACCCTGAAATTGGATGGTTCGTGGTATGTATAGTGGAAAAGCTAAAGATGAAATTTAAGGGATCATTTTGTGTCTAGTACCACAATCGGACAAAGAACGAGATTGCTAGATAACTCAAAAGGAATCAAACTTCTGAACATCAGTTAACTATAAAAAAAATGTAAAAAGTGGGATGTAAAGGCAGAATTATCATGACAAAGGAGTGTTTCTATCTTCTCCTTACACATCTCCTCACATACTGTAAGTATGTAAATGGTTTATAAAAGAAAATGTCTTGACTATGCTCTGCTTCAGGATTGTTTGTACACAGTTTATCTCCACTGAGAAGCAAAAACTTTACCATAAATAGAACAGCCAATAGAGCACAAAACTCCACTCACCTACCCAAACTTCTCTCTCCTCATTTAGACTTTTTGAAAATTTCAAGAAAAGTTTTACTGAATGCTATATTTTAAGATTTCATACAGATAGGCAAGATTTCATACAGCTAGGCATATCAACTTGAAATACACACTACACCTTCCATCCACCTAAAAAAATGCAAGGCTTGCCTCATTTTCCCTATTCTTGACTTTGTTTCTGGTCAATCAGCATTCTCTGATATTACTGAAATTTAGAGTTGCAAAATGCTCATTTAATCAGTTATCTGCTCAATGGCACATCAGCTTTTTCTGCATTATTTATTACTAATCTTACAATACTAGTAACTTTTTAATAATTTTGAAAGCAAAATTAACTGTTTTCTTCTATGTATTTCCTTTATTTAAAAGCTCACAGTCAGAAAAAATTCATTAAATACTCATGTAATTTCAGAGCTTTATATGCAATGTGCAAGCGTGATACTAGAGTATGTGGTGTTGAAAGGTGTGCAGCAATGGTAATACTTTTGAATTTAGAGGGACAATTTTAATTTGTATTTCAAATCAGTCAACAGAATAAAAAGCAGGAGGAAGTGTCCTTCACATCTCTAAGTTTTCTTCAGGACCAGTCTACAAAGGGAATAAAGGTTTACCTCCACAATTTTGCAGCACTGGAATTGGCTTTCATTTCCAAATTCATCATTTAGGGTAAACATAGTATAATCACCTATTTTCCCATGTAACTTAAATGGAAGATGATGTGCAGAGATTGTAAAAAGGGAAACATTAAAAATGTGCTTGCAAATTCAAGCAATTGCATTAGGCCTCTACAGGAGAAAGAAAATACTGCTTAAGAGCTTTCCAGATAGCAACTAGCATTTACAGGCTTGTTCTTTTTCTGGTTTATTTTGCATAGCGGTCAGTATGGATTTTAAAGGGTGCCATTTCCAGGACAGCATGACAATTCTTACAGTTGTTTGTGTAGTTTTATAAAAGTAGCTGTCATTGCCTGTTAATCCTTTACATCTATATTTTTGCATGCTTATAGCTTCAGTATGATATCTTACATAATACTTGTAGGTCTGCTAATCCTGTATTATTAAAACCTTCACTTTTTAACTGCTTTCACTGTAAAATATGAACAAGCTGCGTTGTCATGGATACATGAAGATTACGGAAGGGGTATAACTATCACAAAACCTGCATGCACGAATAACATGAATTATGAAAGCTTTTTTTCCCCCACACATGATTTTGCATAAACAGTTGCTCTATTGAGTTGATGATTTTTAAATCCAAAACTTGCTTTATCTGAAGTGTTTTTTCTACAGTTAACAACACTGTATAAGCTCACTTAAGTGCCTACAAAGCAATTTCAAAACCTAGCCTCTGTATTCATGTTCTTTTTCTTTCTTAGAACATCTTTGTTAGTTTTTATGAGTCATGGCTATGCTTGACACTGTATATCCTTTAAAGCAGCTCGACTTTCTTCTTCCTCTAGCTGACACCCAGTCTACCTCTAGTCTATCTGTTGATAGACCCAATAAAATACTTTTATATCCTTCCTAACTATTCAAAAAATAATTTTACTTCAGACAAGATAAATCTTTAAACAACTAGGACAAAACAGAGGAGGGAAAACCAGCACAAAACCAAAAAGTGGAAGTAACACCATTGGTGTTACCCCAGACAGTAAGCACTTTTCCTACTCCTCCCTTGGCAAATTTTGACACTACTCCTGACGCTATTCTGACTCTCAGCTTGACCTGCACAAAGAGCTGCTAAGTGATCAAATTTAGACATGTTCTAAACAGCAAAGGCAAACAATTTGTTTACCTCAGCTACTGCCTTCATCAACAATGAACTTGGCTACTCCAGGAAGGTATTGGGAAAATGATAGAAGGGGAAGGAGGAAAGGGAAATATATAATGGGCAAAATAATTTCCCTAAAAAAGCATTTTGGGCCTTTAAAAAATCTGAAAATCATTAAATAAAAAGACCCTGTTATATTACACAGATGAATGTATTCAGTCTTGTATCTTGTGCACAACTTGCATTTTGATACCTACATCTGCAGATGAGCATCTCAGATTCTAAGTGGAGTCAATACACCAGACCAATCTCACTACACTGGAAAACTAACAGAAAATCATTGTTTCATTTATAAAACCTTTATGGAACACAAGGCATATTTTAAACATTTAAATAACTGAACAAAATAAATTATGAAGAACCACAAGTCACTAAAAATTAAATAACTGAATAAAATTTAGCATATAAAATGCTGCTTCTTCCATTGAAAAATCAGCTTCTTCATAAAAAAATGAGAAAACTTGTTCTACTGTACCTTGTAAAATAATTTCATGAGTAAAATGATTTACAATAACCAAAGAAGCATCAAAAAAATTTGTACATGCTCAGCTGAAACAGAAAAATGAATTACATAACAGATCAGTAAAGCTTAGAGAGGTCTTCTGACATTTTGAAAATTATGTCCTCTGACAAAATTTTGAAGACTATCCACAGTGTCAAATGCTTTAAAATGCTTGGATTAGGTGATATATTAACTTCTCAAACATTCATACATAGCTAATTTCTTACATACTTCCTTTTCAAGTCACTTGAATTGCAGGAGCTGCTATGAGTCTAAGAAATAGAAAAACCTCCTTACAAAATATCACCCCTTTAAATTCTTCCTGTATCAATCTGTGCTGGTTATGATCAAAATCCCAGAATAACCTTCTCCATAATTTTGCCAGGCACTGAATTGAGGTAGGTCTGTAACTGACAGCATCTGTCTTCTTTTTCTTCTTGAAAACTGGAATATTTGCTAGCTTCCAGCTGACTGTGACCTCTCCAATCTCCAAGCCCATTGAAAAATAATGGAGAGAGGCTTTGCTCTCAAAGTGCCTCAAAGTCTTAGACACTTTTTTGCCTCTTCATTAAGCACTTGAGATCCTCCTCATTTGGTCCTGAAATGCCTTTGATTTCTAAGCAGCTTGCAAAGTAGTATTAAAATCACTCAGAACTGTGCCAGTAGCTGAATACTAAGCTTTTTGATTCACTGCATTTTAAAAATCTTTTCCAGAAGCACATACCCTTACCCTATTTCTACTCATCATGTCAGTGAAAGGGCACACACACTAAACAAGTTCACAGTTTACTCATTAAATGCTGAAAACTGTGGGCTTCTTCAACAGGCTATTTTATCAAATAAAGGAGACTTTTATAAAAATTGATTATATTTTCAATATAAAGAAGGAAGGTAAAAGAAGATTTTTCTGTTTCAAGGTGGTGCAAAAGACAGTGATACTGCAATATGGGTTTAATAAAAAACACTAGAAAAGACCACCAAAATACTGCATATTACAGTTACAAAACTTTTTTAAAACATGCCAAAACTCCAGAAAACTGGTTCTTGACAGCACTGACTGAAAGATGATTTAGACAACAATTCTTTTGATGCTTATTTACAAAGTCCTCTCTGCTGTGTTACTGCTAGCAGTCCGCACACAGAGAACTGAATGTGTGACTGCATGGATACAGCACTAGTCAAAGTGATTACTGTGGAGAGATTCCCTTGTGGGGTCACTGATATTCTTTCTCTATTCAGACATTATAGAGATGAGAAACTGCTCTAAAGCTCAATGTGGAATTTAGTTTCTCCTGTTCAGAAGAAACAGGCTTATTAGTGGTTTCCTGACTCCCCTAGCTAGTGGCTTTACCTGCAGTAAACATCTACAGACTTCTAAGCATGTCTCTTACAGGCACTTCTGACTTCTTTTAAGTCACAGAAGGGCTTCAGTGGCTAACAGTGGTTTTGATCTACTTTGTGTAGAAGTGCACAAAAAAACTCTTCTACAAACTGTACTACAGTATACTCACTGACTTGTAAAAATATACCAGCCCACTGTATTCATATATGTTCATGCTACATCTCATTACCCAATTAATAATACTACAGCTGACAAAACAACACTGTAACCAAGTTCTTTTTCTTTTCACTTGTTTACTGAATTTAAAAAAAAAAAAAAAAAGGAACAGTTAATGAAATTTTGCTTCTTTCAAGGTACAAATTTTGACAAAATTCTACAGTAACTGGTTATCCACAGAAAATCAATCTAGTGCACTTCAGGATTCACAGGGTGAGGAAAGAAAAGGAAAGGGAACTAGTATGAAAAATATCTAGAAGTTTCAGTCTTCTAGATTTAAAGAAAAGTGGGACATTCAACCAGAGTTTTTTGTCATAAAGCAATATTTTTCTAAGGAAAATGAAGAAATTTTTCACTCTAAAAAGGCAAAATCTAGTCCCATTTATTTTCTTTACTTTCAACCAAGTTTTTCCTAAGTGAGAAAAAGCATACTACTGTAAAATAATGAAAGACTGAACTTTCACACACTATGGGCATCCCAGCATACCTCCTGAATGGCTGTCATGACAACATGTTGAACTGATTCTTCCATCATCATTATGGTCTGGATGTACTCTGAAAATAAAAGCATTCTGAAATGTCAATGTTGAAACTCAAGTCACAGAAGTTAGGATCAGAAGCTGCATCCTTCCTACAAAATTACTAGATGCCATGGATGACACTGAAATGTATAAACATCAGTCAAGTCCCACCCCAACAAATTCAACAATATTTTATCAGAAGCCTGTTCAGATACAAATTCAGGCTAATTTGAACTCTGCAACAATGAAAAAAGTATGTGATTACCTTTTTCCTCCCCTGGCATCTTACACTTCTGAAAAAACTGCTTTTATTCTTTTCTCACTTTGTTCCCAAACTGTTCAGGCTCTTGAAATACATGATCCATGTATAAGTTGTTCTTTTCTGTAAGTGTAACAGTAACAGCCTGACTTCCTACAGCATCCTCATTTTAAAGCGTTTTCATGTTCATTTTTGGTGTCTTGTTTTTATTTCTGTAGCACATCACAAATTAAGTTCCCTCCACTTTTTGAGTTCTCAGCTATTTTGTGTACATGTGAGCTACACAAGAGGTACCTTGTAAGACGATACAGTACTCAGAAGAAGAAATTCTGACATTTAGCCTGAGTCAAGGAGTAAATTACTTGCCCAGTAAAATACCATTTCCAGTCAAAGATCATCTCCTTTATTCTTTTAATGATGTGATTAAGAGAAAGGCGCTGGGGAAAAAGTCACCTTCAAGTGGGAAATTTGGTCATGCTGGATCTTGCTCAAAGTACATAAAATTAGATTGTTCTGGTATTTCAAATGTGCATTTTTAATGTCCAGACTGAAAGAGTTAAGGGGACACAAAAGCAACATATACTTCCCACTGGAAAATGACAAATAGTCAACAAAAAGAAGATAATTTTATATAAAACAGAGATGACAAGAAGTTTAATAAACCAGCCTTATTTATGTACTTGTGGAAGAAAACTACTCCAGAACTTCCTGGTTAAGAGAATAGAAGTAATTTCAGAAGGAGAAACTAAAGTGATTTAGTCACCTAGGAAAACTGGAAAGGGAAAATTAGCTGTAAAGTTAAGTGCACCAAGCAAGAGGAAGACAAAGTCTTCCTGTAAAATCTTGGCAGCCATCAAACACAAAATGAGCTATATCTAGAAGACACACTTATTTGATGCAACTGTCACACAAATACAGTAAAAAAAGTCTTATTTTCCAACACATCTATTTTTCCCACACATGACTACGTTTCCTGTTTAAAGTATTTAGAATAGGTGTTTGCATTTGTCGTTAACTTCAACTGGCTTGAACAAAGTATAATTTAAGGTAACTGGGTTACAATATACAGCCTGCTTGCCCGAAGCAAGTTTAGAACATGGGATGTAGCACACTTTAACAAACATCTCCATTGCTCATCACATCCTCTCTGGCAGCTCCAAGAAAGATGAATGGGTTACTACTGTATTTGTGCAGGTCTGAATTACAGTCAGTGTCATGGGGGTAGAGAGACAAGAGTCTCCTTCAGGCACTGCTAGAGTGGGATTCAATTGTCTGGCAATTGGTCTGAAGCAACTTTTTGGATGACCTTATTGTGCTCCATCTTCAGCTGCTGCCCAAAAGGGTATGGTTGCCAGCATTACTTTTTCATATTTGCCAACCCATAGAAAAATCTCAGAAGCAACAGTAACCCAGGTTCACACCAGACATATCGTCAGACCAAGCACCAGTCATACTGATGGCTTTTGGCCATGTAGTAAAATGATGCCTGGAATGCATCTCTACAATCAAGAATTATGCTGAATAATGCAATAATCACATCTTTCCAATCTTTACTATCCTGATCTGCCGCATAAATGGTTAAAAGGTGTGCCCAATAGTTTTTTCTTTGTAGACTGATTTTTCAGTTCAGCAAACCAAAAGGGAAAATATGCATCTTGGAAGTAAATTCAATTCCAGTCTGAGTCTCCAAAAGCTTACACCAAAAAACAGTTACTATCTGTACAATAAAATAATGTCGTCATTACTGTTTTTTTTTTAATCTGTTTCTGACAGAAACCCAAGAATGATAATTTTTCTCCTTAATAGTTGCACAATAACCAAGAAAACATGTTTTCAAAATTTATTACCTTGCTTCTGTTCACAATTCACAGCACATCCCAAAATAAGTTGAAGCATTCTCCCAAGCTCTGCGGCATCAGCATGCTCTCCAATCAGGTTAACATCAGGAAGGGTGAAGTCATTTATCTGTTGCCCTAGAATCTGCATAAAATCAAGGTACATACACGGCTGTATCACTGCACATACACATATCAATTTCTTTCATACGAAGATGATTCAGAATCAAAAACAGCAATTCACTCTTACTCTACTATAGTTTTGAGCACACCTTCAAAACAAACTAAATTGATTAATGTAACATCCCACTATAAAATCATACTGTTTGATACAAATAATATTTGGAAAAAGATAAACATTACTGTCTTAACTCACAAGCAACTACTAGGTAAACATTTAGCAAGATTCTTTTTTAAAGAACTAAAAGTTGAAAATGTTTCACCTATACAATACATATATATAACACTGACAGGTGACAAATACAAGGCTGCAAAAAACTCAGATCTCTAGACCTCACACTTTTAGCAAATTTAAGGATATCTGGCAAGTCTTACAGCTAAGAAAGCTGTTCCATGGAAGAGAATCTGAGGTAGTAGTACAATGATATGTAATTAAACAGCCCACATGCAGAAAGAAAAGCCCTGCAAAACAAAGGCCCGTGTGACTCGCTATTAGTGTTATCTGATTTATCATTAAAGATCATTAAGGATTAATGATTGGCAGTAGAAGGAACTAGACAATTCTACTAAATTGCTCTTTACTGAACAGAGGGTTGAAAATATGAATATGAAATTTGGAATTAAACACATCACTGACACATTAATTGCAGATAAAAAGAAACTGTAACTTCTTAAACAGGGTACAATATGGAAACAATGACTATATAGAGGGTATCAGTCATGTGTTTGCTGCATGCTCTTTTTGTGCAATACCCAAGAAAAACAGAAATCAGGTTAAGGAATTAATAAAAAACACAACGTATAAGAAGAATATAAGAAAACAAGTTATTGTGAAGTTAAGTAGGGCTGGCTTTCATGGAAGTGTTGAGGTTTTGTTCTGATTATCTACAGAGTGTTTTCTGTTGTGGAACAGCAGGATTTTTAAGCAGTTTTCTCAAAGAATTAACTTTAACACTACTAAAAATCTCTGAGTACTTTAAAGCATGCAGATTCACTCTTGTTGGAAAAGACTTTCTTTAGGTCAAAAGAATTCTGTGAATGCATCAACCACAATGAAAAATATTACCATCATATACAGACTCCACTAGCAGAAAATACAATGTGTTTTGATTCTGATATGCATTTATATATTGATCTGCACTTCTTGAATTTCTTTCAAATGCAATGCTGGGTTTAAGTTAACAATACTACAGTGACCTCTTAATCACTGACAATAAAATTCCTATGAGGAAAGCTGAAGGGAAGAGGTAAATTGGCAGGCACCAGTAAGAAGTGAAGGATGTGAAGGTGTGAATTGAGTTTGAAATAAACAATTTAAAGAAACTAAGCAAAAAAACACCAAGGGCAGTATGAAAATGAAGGATAGACTGTATAATAACTACCTTGAGATGAAAAAGAGCATTTAAACCATTTTCAAAAGACAAAAGAATGATACATTTACAAAAAAGTTAAAGTTTCAGTTCCAGAGCAGCAGAGGCCTACAGCAAGATGAACTGATGCAGAATAAAGCATGAAATCTATAAATAGTTAACTCAGGCTTCTTGTTCTTCTATACTTTAATGGACAATGACAGCAAATGTAGCAGTTTTACTGATTGCTCTTTGGAATGCAATACAAATTTGAGGGTGAATAATATTAGCATACACATTTTCATATGCTTTTAACTACATCAGGTAAAATCCACATACATCTCTATATTTTTGTAGCAAAGGAGGGAATAATGTTAAGGAAAACATAAGCAGAATTTATTAGTAGAATCCACAATACCCCTACTATCACCTCCAGCATTGCCTCAGCAGGAAAAATACCAACCTAAACTGAAATCCAGTGAGATTAATAAATGTACACTACCTTTACAGAAATTAATCAGCTTGAATCCACTCAGAACTTGCCTAACAGTAAAGTTTTGACACTAGAAACTTAATCATCATACATACTAACCAACCAAAAAGAAGCTTGCATCATTTTGTCTTAGTAATATTAATTTTCCATAACAAAAACCTGATCTGTTTCTTTTTAGTGTTCCCAGTCATGACCAGCTTGCTTAATCATCACTTTTCAACATTTATTTAAACATGGATACTTAATAATTTACTGAAGATGACCTCCTAAGACTAATTTTTTCTTTCTAAAGTACTTCAATTTATTAACAAATAATCTCTGTAGTGTTTATGAGAAGAGTATTTTGAAACAAGCAATGTCTAGAACATGCATACTATGGATTTTGTGCTGCTGTCTGTACAGATCAATTCATCTCAAACATCACTGAAAGCATATTTCAGCTGAAGGTTCACCAGTGAAAGAAAAATACTGTCTCCTCTGGAGTAATTAAATGCTGAGTTTGCTAAAAATAAGAGAGAATGACAAGTAATGAGTCCAATACACCTGAATTAAAATATTTAATTTTAAATATTAGTGTGGGGAGAGGCTAGAAATGCTCTTTACTCACTCTTCTCAAGAGAAAAGTAAGGGAAAGAGCAGACTTCAACTGCAGAGGAGGAAGGAAAAAAAAATCAGATACAGGTACATTACAGTACATCAGACACAAAGCTCATCATCAGAACATAGTCAATAGAGCCATCTGTTCTCCACATGCGAAAATTTGTGTATCAGGCTTCCCTGGAACTCCTGAGAGTTCAATAAAGCAGGTGAAAAGGTTTGAAGAAGGCCAAGACTAGGAAATAGGCCATGAATCACTATATATGCCAAAAAGAAAAGTCAGAACTTAACCTGCAGAATACAATTTATCTTCCTCACGTTAACTAAAATACATGATTCAAAAGGCAAGCAGATGCAGATTAGTTCAAATAGCTCTTACCTCATGGTTGTAATCCAGTATTCCTTTCAAAATTTTCTTCAAGTTGCTTACCTATTTGACAAGAAGGAGGAAATACAATAAACACAGGGAGCATTTTACAGAGAAATGATCATAAAGTGGGTAATCACAGAAAAATCACACAAAAGAAGGATATAATTACATCTATTTATGCACAGATAAATTTAGAAACATGAAAGTTATGCAAGAGGCCCTTAGGATGAGACTTCCAGATGTGATTACAAATCTTTATGAATTCACAGAACCCATTTAAATTTATGAGAAATATAATATTGTCCTACATAGACTTTAAATCAGATCCTATGCCATGAATGCTTTTAGATACTTGTTTATCTTAGGATTATCTTTGCACCCAGAAGTTGAAATATTATTTCCACTCCTTTCTTCTCTTGAACTATCCTATTAATCTACTTTCTGCAGAGATAAACCTCTTCTTCCAAATCAAAACCAGCTACTGCTCAATATCATCCTTTATTCTCAACTCATGTATTTTTTTTTGTCATTAATTATTCCTCTTAGTTCTTTCATTTTTGTTCTTGCCATTCTCTGTCCCTCTTTCCAGTTTTTACAAATGAATGTCTGTCTAACAGTATCTGGCAAAACCCACATTTCTCCAAGATGACTTCACTGCTATACAAAGGTATCTTCTGTTCACTCACATAACCAATGGCATCAGTTAAGTACCTCCTGCTGTACAGAATGTATGTCACATTCCTCTAGTAATGAGTATTGCTCCCTTCCCAGAAAAAACCCATTTGCACCAAGTCTCTGGAAATACAGTGTTTAAAATTATAAAAATGCCCATGGATCTCACATGGTGAAATTCAGAGGAAAAAGAAGAATTTTTGCTGAAAGTAATTGCTAGACAGAGATTACCAATTACTGTTCAAGTATTTAAGAAAAGAATTTACAGAATAGAAACAGCACAGTTTCCTGAGACAGCAGTGGCTGAGGGATCTGGAGCTGTTCAGCCTGGAGGAAAGGAGGCTCAGGGGTGACCATAATCACTCTTTACAACTCCCTGAAAAGGAGGCTGTAGCCCAGGTGGGAGTCAGCCTCTTCTCCCAGGTAACAAGAGATGAGACAAGAGGAAAAGGCTTCAAGTTTTGCCAGGAAGAGATTTTTGCAAGGAAGAGTATCAGCATACATATCTTTGTCAGAAAGGGTTATCAATAATTGTAACAGGCTACCCAGGACACGACTGAGCCGCCATCCTTGTGGTGTGCAAAGACCTATGTAGATGTGGTACACTGGAACATGACTTACTGGTGGACTTGGCAGTTTATGGTCAGATTCTATGATCTTAAGGATCTTTACCAACCTAAATGATTGTATGACTGATGTTTAAACAGGATCTGCAAAGACTAAAACCAATAGAAACAGGCTTCACAAAGTTCTCTCACTGACAGCAACAGCCACAGCAGCAAATTTTGGAACTGCAATGAAGGGAGAGCAAAACCTCTCAAGTTCTAACTGCCTTTGAAGACCACCATAAATTTTATATTCTTGACCACATTCCAGAAATACCCAGTTAGGAGATTCTGTCCACTGACAGAAATTATTTACCTTTCAAACTACCTGATGGCTGTTAGGAAATGTGATACTGAAATCTAGGGACAAACTCAACACTTCAATATGGTCAAGAAACAAAACAAGGTGATGAAAGTAAATTCCAGACTCAAGAAAGGAACAGATACACACACTAGAAGATTTCTGCCAAGAAAACCAAAGTGATAATCTGATTACCTGACTACTATTAATCTACTCCCTTTTGGAAAGAAGTGCCAGAAGTTGATTCCTTATTAAGATATAGGAACATTCTGACTATCTCTCTAATCACTGAATTTTAAGTCATACAAGAAACAAAAAAAAATAATTTGGGCCTGAAAAGTGACACATCAAATGCCCTGACAACCTAGAATGAGAACTGGAGATGCTACTTTATAGCATGTATTTATTGTCACTCCCAAAATGGCGTAATACACAGTTTACACCTTCTACACCAAAGCACATACATTTTCTGTACTATTACACACAACACAGCATGATCCTTTAAGAGCTGCAACTATTTCTTAGGTGTCTGCCTAACAGCAACCAAGACCACTACTCAAAGGCAATGTGAAATCATAACCAAAGTCTGCAACAGATTTAAGAATTTAAAGAAATCAAGAAGTTTTATTTTTATATCAAATCACCACAAAGAATATTGCACTGATTGGAATATTATTTTCAAACTTGATTAATTAAAATCTTCTGGTTTATAGTTTACCTGAGTCTGCTGCAGAAAGAGCCACGGAAATGCAAGGGCCATGTTGCAGAATTTAAGTCCAGTTTACCGCTGAGAACATTTGTGAGGAACCTTGAACTTGAACATAATCCCAAAAAAATGAGAAACCAAATGGAAACCTGTGAAATACTTCCTTCCCTCTCTCCTTGTAAGCATTTTTGAATTAAAATTCCTTAAACACAAAACGCCACCTTCCTCTGTATAACTTTTATAGCGCTTGGAGTCAAGATACTGAAACAAAATCCATATTGATCAAAATTCATCATGAAAACGAGCACATAGGGCAGCATTCTTGAAAGAAGAGAACAGCAAACAAACTGAAAAAGAAATCTTTACTGTCCTATTTCACTCCACTGTCAATCAACAGTACCAGGGTAGCTTGTTTTCAAGAATTAACTGTACCATCTTTGTATTTGGCACACAATCAGACAATTGTGAGATTAAAGTAGCTTCTTTATAGACTTCTTTTAAGACTAAGACTGGCTTAAACTTAACTGTGATCTTCAGTATTACTAAGACAGCTCTCAATTTTTTTTCCTAACTAGCTTGCAGTCAATAAACTTAAATGGTTTTAACCGCCCCAGAGAGGATCATCACAGGGAAACTACCACTAATATTTTGTACTTTGAAATTGAACTGATTAGTTCCAGCAACATTTATGAGGTCAAAGGATATGAAAGGAAGACCTCAAGCAGCTGAATGAAAATGAACAACAGCCCAAGAAAGTGTTAAATACAACCAATTAGATCTGAATTCTAAGTCTCAGCCGATTACAGTTGTTCAGAATTACTTTTCACTTTCTAAAGCACATAGAAAAACCTAACTGTAGTTAACAATGACCATTAAATTACATGTCAGACCACAACAGAAAGAATTGCCAAAACAGATTATGACTATAAAGTATTAAACCATTATTCAGGTGTCAGCCTATGACCACATGGGATGCCTATTTGCATCAGCAACCTGAGTTCTTGCTTTTCCATAAAAACATACACGCTACCCTCCCAACACCTTTAACATTTATTCCCTACAGCCATGCTTCTGCTGGAAAAAATGTGAGGTTTACTGGGGTAAAAAAAAGTGACAACTATTTCATCTCAGAAATTTGTCGCAATTCACAATAGATGGACCAGTAAGTACTTCTATACAAACCTCTATCCATTTTCAACCTCTTTACCTTTTCATCTGAGAATATTGATACAACCTCAATATTCTCACTCCTTTGAACACCTAAAGTTCACAAATACCCACACCAGAGTTGTGTGGGTGTTCTTTATGTTAAATTATCATTACCCTCTCTGCTAACAGCCATCTTGGCACTACAGACTAAGCATGCAGTGCTCAATATGACACTGACCCTTAGTACACATCATTAATCTGATAAACTGACTGGAATGAAAGCAGAGATCATGTGATCTGCCAACATAAGCATAAGACTTAATGCATACAGCATAAGACTTAATGGTTGCTTGTTTTTTACTCCTGTTTTTCTTTTATTGTCACTTGCCATATAAAATCCCTTTTTAATTACAACTTGCTTACTGTTTCCAACCTCAGGTTTGTAAGTGCAGTTTGTCTAGATTTCTCTCTTTGCTAATATGACTGTGTAACAAAGGGGAAGGTCAATGATGTGGGCAATAGAAAGTGCCCTTAAGTTTGTGATTGTTGACAAAAAGCGAGCATGGGTTATCTAATTTCCTGGGTTTTCTCCAACATTATGGCTGTCAGCCTCCAATTTTGTGTCACCCTTATATCAAATGTATGACTGAAACTCTGTGCTGGAGTCTCTGTGTAAATTGTTTTTTCTTTTTTTTATTTCAGATCTTGAATAACCTCGGGAAATGTTGTGCACACTTTCAAATGGAGTGGGAATTCTTAACCAGTAAGCTTTGGATATCTCATTAAGGTACATTTTTATCCATTTGCAGTTAACAGGTGGGGTGGGGGGTGGTGGGCATGGGCGTGTGGGGGTGTGTGTGTGCACGCACCAAGAACGGGAGGGAGCACGTGTGTTCACTGCTTGTACCACTCTCACGGGCATATGGTTTCTGATTTAAACTGCGTTTTGCAGGAACATGTCTCATCACTGATAATAGGTGGAACCTAGAGAAAGACTAGGTAGAGAAGGTTCACAAGACTAACACAGCTTGCTACTATAAACATCAATAAAACTGTACTTTAAATTGATGGTGTAGTCTGAATGCCAAAATGAAAAGTTCAGAAGAAAAAGTCAGAACTCAAGCCGAACAATGTGTTTCCTTTCCTTCCTAAGCTTTTCACATGAATAAAAGTCGATGTGGGGGAAAGGGGGACTTTTATGTAACCCCTCAGGGAACCAACAGTTTATTCTGTAATTGCCAAAACTGATGCACATGTATCAAATCAGTAATTTTTTTCTTGATTAGGGAATTTCATTCCTGCAAAATCCTGGCAATCAAATTATTTTCTAAGCTGCTTTTCATTTTCAGTATAGGTTTTATGTTCAAGATGTCAACTTCCTCAGCCATTAAATATTATCTTGTACAAAATTTAAATTTTGACTATACAGAAGTGTTCAATGTACATGAGGAAAGAGTTAATGGCTTTGCTTTTCTACTTTGTAAACCATCATAAAATTGCGGATAAGGCAGCAGTGAAAAGTCCTTTTGTTGCTGAAGAGAAAACACAAACTCCTATGTACATTGATGTATGCTATTAGCACGAAATTTTAACCCTGAAGAAATGACATTTCTCTACTAAATACAGTACACAAAGATCTGGTTAGCTCTAAGAACCACAATGCTTGCTGAATGGTTCCTATTTTGCAAGCTCCCCAAGTTTTAGCATTTCCCTTTTTCTCTCCTGTGCACTTCTCAATTTCTCAAGTCTGGCAACTTGCCCTGAAACCAAGAATTTAAAAACATCCCTGTGAGTTTTTTTTTCAAGTGGTACAGCAACTGCAAAAACATTGCAGTTATCAGAAAGCAAAATGCTAAAAAAAACCAAGCTAACCAAACCCATCCTCCTCCTGCCCCCTCCCCACAAAAATCTCAGCCTTATGTTCTTGTTTTTTCTCTATACAGGACAACACACAATTCAAAATTAACAATCTTCTCCCAGGCAATAACTGACAGGACAAAAAGAAACTGTCTCAAGTGGCATCAGGTAAGTTTTACGTCAAATATTAGGTAAAAGATTTTCACTGAAAGGGTTGTACAGCATTGGAACAGACTGCCTAGCAAAATGGTAGAGTCATCATCCATGGAAATGTTCAAAAAATGTGCAGATATGGCACTTGGTGACATAATGGGTAATGGTGAACACAGTGGTGGTGCTAGGTTGACAGCTGGACTCAATCTTAAAGGTCTTTCCTAAACTTAACAACACTATGATTCTATCATTTTCTGAGTACTTCCATGAACAGTGGTTAGGTGGGCTATACAAGACCTACACTAATCTCTACCAGCCCTCCTAACCACTGTTTCAGAAAACTTACTACACATTACATTTAGATTGTTTTTCTGTATTTCCCCTACTAGACCAGCTCCTTTATGCAGTTCACAATACCAAAAGTTTGTACAAGTGGTGCCCAGATGGCATCAGAGACAAAGAGTGACCATGTTTAGCAACAAGAAAATAATGCAGCTCATTACCACAACATTTGAGATAATCTAATTATCACTTCTCATGGCACTTCTTAAAGTATGGAGGGAAAGCTGTATTCTAGAGTCATGCAACTATGATGCCCACATCTTAAATCCAGTAATGAATATATTTCTAAAATTAGGCTGTAGTGAGGTGATGGTCAGTACCTCCTCTCCCAGTTAGCAAGTGACATAACAAGAGGAAATGGCCTCAAGTTGCACCAGGGGAAGTTAAAATTGGCTATTATGAAACATTTCTTCACCAAAGGCATTATCAAGCATTAGAACAGGCTGCCCAGGGAAGTATCCCTGAAGGTGTTTAGAAGAGCTGTACACGTGGAGCTTAGGGTCCTGGTTTAGTGTGGACTTGGTAGAGTTAACTTGATCTTAAGTCTTTTCCAAGCTGAACAATTCTATTAATAGAAATGCACAGATTGAAGCGTTCCTACAAGCCAGACTTTAAATGAAGGACTGGATGATAGACATTTGGAAAACTAGACTACTAATAATGTTTACTCACATATAAGGAACAGTTGGCAAAGTATAAGATTACTTCCAGATTAAAAAACAAGAGTTAAAGTATCACACTTTTGCCTTTCAGTATTCTTCATTAAAATGGAAGTGGTCTATAAAAATGCATACAAAAAGCTGAATTATATTTCTTAAACAAAAAAACAAACCATCTTTAGTTCTTGTTTACATGGACACTTGAAAAACAAGATGGAATGACATCAGCAAAAAACTGAAATTTGACCTGATGTTTTGCCAACCTCAGTCACATAAGGAAGTTACTGGATTGCTCAGCTTTTTTTTTTTTTAACACCTGCTAAGCTTTTACATTTGCCAAACTGGTGGGAGACATAAAAATAAAATATTTATTCCTCAAACTCCATGTGACAGTTATAGAAGCTGCTGCTTCACATTCAATCAACTCAAATGCTATTATAACCAACAGTTCTCAGTTTGTTATCCTCCACATTTAACAGCCAAGATTTCAATGCTCCTTAGGAAAAACATAAAAAAAAATTTGACAGAAAAGTAAGACCTTTATCCAGCTGTTCACTTGCAATACAATTCGTTGAGAAATTAATTTATATTATGTGCTCTACAGCATATGCCAAAAGAGTCCTAATGGTTCTTTAGGGATCATGTCTTTTATTCAGAAGTCTGTCAATATATATCCTCATCAATGTACCCTCAATTTTGCTGGCAGCCCTAGCAGACAGAACATTCTAAAGCATTCCAGACTTCACACAGCTGGTCAGACAACAGAAACCATGCTGATACACATTTCCTGGCCAAGTCAAAACATGGACAGTAGCAGTGTGCTACATCTTTGTCTCAGGCAGCATTCTGCCTCCTAAGTGCCCCTGCAATTCAGAAAGTGATGTAAACAAGCCTGTAAGAACTAGAGCATTTCACAGTTTTAGTCCTTCCCCAGATGCTCAGAATGGGTTTTAGTGGCTGGAACAAAATGGTTTTACTGGAGACAAGAACTAACAGTAAATTCTTAACTACTTTTCTTCCCCCCAAATTAGTAAGGCTGAAAATGGAAACTTAAAAAAGCAAACAGATCATTCTCTGAAGAAAACTAGTCAAAAACTACACTAACATCTGCATGTGAGATTGCGTTCCTTAGATTATAAAGCAAAATGTTCCTCATACATAGTTCTTGTCTATTCTATTTCCTTCAAGTTTGTAGAGAAATCTAGAATGCCAAGTGATACAAATGACCCAGCAAACAGACTGTGATTAAAAATCATGCTGAGTAGAAACAGAGAAAAAACACTACTTCCTCTCTTAAAGCTCAGTAGCTCTGCAGAGCTGACAAAGTAAAAGGAAGCAACATGTTGCCATTTTTCTTTAAATATACTGCTTATTATGTTCCTATTTTTATGCAGTTACTTCTCAAAAAAGCTGCTTTTTTAAAAGCTGCTTTCACACTGTGCATTAAAAAAATATTTCATTCAATGTTTGAAAAACGAGAGGTAATTATAACATTTACTTTAATAGTCTCCTTTTAAATCATTAAAACCTTTTAACAAATTCAAAATGTCTTTGCTAAAACTGTGCAGGACAATACAACATAAAAACAAATAAGTGTAATTAAAATTGTCTAAAGTTCAAAATAAATCTATAAAGCAAGATCCTAATCCAGAATTGTGAGAATATTTAGACACAATATTGTATTAAGTACTCAAATACAGATTCACAGACAAGCAAACTAAGTCAAATACCTTTAGCCTCCAATTATCTCCCACTTCTGTTTTGATTCTGTTCAGCCAATTTTCATCAAAATAAGCTGGATCGCTGAAAGATAAAAAGTGTAGTCATTAAAAACTCATTTAGAAATTTTGAGTACACATTCATCATTAAGCTCCTGTCTCAGGTTTGAGTTAAGTAAAATGACAACCTCATGTATCTGACACATGGCCTGAATATAGTAGTTCAGAATCCTGTTACTACTCACTTTTCTAAGAACTTTCACCATTTTGACAGCATAGCTTCATTTATGCTTCATGAGCAGCTTATGCTTTTGAGGGAGGTTCTTTGTATTTTGAATGCATTTTGCCAGTTTTCCCTCTGTAAATCCTACCTCTTCATTTCTCCTCTAGTATTGCAGCAATATTTAGTTGCATTTCTTAAAATTCTTAAAAATTATTACTTTTCCATGCCTTATGGATTCCTACAATTGTACATTCCTTATAACTATTCAGCTTCTAAAATAAAAGCCTGAAACAGAACAATATATATGCTGTCTTGATAGAGTGAGAAGAGCTAGGAAGCATCACTGAAGTTTTGATGACTAAGAACACACTTCACTATTTAATTTACCAAACACTATATTTTTGAGATCCTCTTTTCACAGTAACCCTACACAAATCTTTTTGTGAACACCCTTCCTTAGAAATTTTTCTATCCTCTGCACTTTTGACAAGGCAATCAAGAAAAAGAACAGAGAACTATTTCTATTTCTATGCACAACTTCTCCCTATTCATTTTTCTCAAAGCATCTTCTATAAGCTGTTTCTTCAAGACACCTCCTGAGACTGTCTCTCCTGCTGCCAAGCTCGAAGATCATCTAAAAGGCTAACATTTTCTACTGCTCAGCTCAAATTTTCCCTTTATCATAGCGGATTTTGAAAATGCTATAATCAGAATTAAGGAGAAATAATATACTATGTATAACTGGTTTTACAGGAGTAGGAAAACATAAGGAAAGATTCATATTTCATCCAACATATGAAGTCAATACAGCCAGAATGCAAAAAACACCTTTCCATTGTTAGCAAGATGCTCTTAAGAGTTTGTGTTACAGTTTCAGGTGAAGTACTCTATTTTATGGACTTACGCTGCTGCATTTGCCACTGGCTACTGTTAGATTTACAACTGCACCTTCTACACATAGAAGGGGTTCTGGACTGAGCTCTTTTTGCAATGACAAGATGACATGAGATCTTTTGGCAAAACTTCAAGAAAACTCTGAATATGCCTGGAGAGTCAAATAACATCCATATCATATATACTGTAAACCAGCAATTAAATCAGTACTTTTATTAGAACACAAACTCTTAAGAGTCTTCACAATGTATCATGGTCTGCAAACTGTATTACAACTATAATACACAGCAATGGAGGAAAATCATGAACAGCAATGTTTCTCTACTGACACATTTTCATTGCTATTTTTACACACTTTGTTACAGACTCTGGTGAAGATTACAGCATATTTCGTTTCCCTTGACATGGCATCTGCAAACATATATCTGGAAGAACAGCTTTAATTACTAGTTAAGTTGATGACTCCAAATTACTTCCATTCAAAAACAGTACAGTTCTAGTACAGATGACAAAATCTTAAGTTACGAAACAGAAAAAGTAACGTCTTATCCAGACTATCATCTGGTTTTGAAATATGTTTTCAAATAGCTTTCAAATGACCTCTCTGCCACAAGAAGACAAGTAAACTTAAGAATGACATTAATTCAAGTATATGTAAGATCTCTGATACATTAAAAAAGTTGTAATTCAGCTTTAACATGAAACAAATAGCTCACCTTGCCATATGCCTTAATTAAAAAGCCTTCATTTGCCTATTTTCCACTTAATCACGACAAAATCATCTGGACACAAATAAAAAGAGTGACAGTTCAAATCCCATTTTAGGTGTGGGTTTCAAAAAATACCCTAATGACTGTCAAATGGGTCTTCTGGGAATTGCAAACACACAAGTAAGATAGCTTAACAAAAGACTCACAATTATAAAGTATTTATGCAACTGAGAGACCAGGTATGACCTCTGCTTTCCCCATCAAAAAAAACCCAACAGGACTCCCTTAAGGATTGTATCTTATAATTTTAAGGGTTGTACTTGGCCACTAACATCTTCAGCTACTTCAAGGTTGTAGTGCCATGAATATATCAATCTTTGATATACCATTTTCATGGTTAACAATAGTTCTAGGAAACAACGCCAGTATATAAACTATTTCCCACAAGCAAAATTATATTTGGACTGACTAGGTAGCTGATATTGCATATCCAGTTTTCAACGATAACAGCATCAATAAGAGAATCAGCTGAGGAACGCTAACAAGACTTCAGAGTTGGGTCCATCTTACTTCACTCTCAAAGCCTGAAATTCAGCAGAAACTAAGCAGCTTTTCTCAGCTACTACTGTAATAAAATGGACAGCAACTGTCTTTGACAGTCTTGATGAAAGTCACAGGCTACCTAAACCCTGATGCATGTCATCAGACATACTTAAGGAAGGTCCCTGAGAAATAAATCTAAACTCAGTGTGGTAGTCCTCTTCCACAAATCCCATTTGTTTTTTTCATTTGTATATATAAAAACCTCATGGAGGCATCCAAGGTCCAGCAGCTGATAACCAATCCAGTTGAAATCAATAGCATGTAAAAATGGTCAAAATAGCACCAACAATTCTTTTTAGAGAACCATCATGCAGGTTAAAAATTAACAGTACACTGCAAAAACACTTTGCCAGGGCCACAATAAGCAGAAAAGCAAAAGGTTGGGTATCAATGCCAATAAAATCTAGAATGATCAGCCTTTCCTCAACCTCATCACTATTATAATTTTCTTTCTCTTCAAAAGTCTCATTAACGTTCATTAGGTAGAACCAACAGCAATGCTCTCTCTATATAACAAACTATCAGAAATCAAACCTGAAATAAAAGCTTTTCCACAAGTATTTCTAAACATACTTTTAAAAAGGGGCTTCCAGATATTAGATCATTCACAGCTCTTGCTGCAAACAAGTCTCCTTTCACTATATTTTTGGGGATCAGGATTCAACCAAATTCAGACTACCTCAGGCTATTTGATTTGCAAGCAACAGCATTCTTCTTAGAGTGTTTGAAAAAGCATCACCTTAGCAAATATGAAAATGTGTGGCTGAGAAGTGAGCAGCTATACTACCAGAAAATTAACTGGAGCATCTTCATTACCAGGAGATGACTCATACATGAACTAAGTATTTTGAATTCATTAAGTTCCTGAGCCTAGATCCAAACTTATACAATCTCCAGCAGTGGATAACTTTCAGGTTTAGAAAGTTATTTATTTGTATATGAGTTGATTGCTGCCTACTATCTCAGTAGTACTGCAAATAACTTGGACTTTTCTTCAGAGCACAAGATACTTGTGCTGTTGCTAATGCTCTATTACTGCATGTGATGTTTTCAGCAGTGCTCATTTATACCATCTGCATCTTATTTTGTATGCAAATTTTCCTTTATTTAAGCAATCATCTCTCTGCATCACAGATGCCAAGAGACAGAAATACTCTTCTGAAGAAAACCAACCCACAGAGCATGTAGTATAACTCATGATTATTACTCATTTTAACAGTGGTACAGTAAGCTGCTACAAAAAAACGTGTTTACAAAAATTTCCCTCCCCCAGTGATATACAAAAGCATGGCTTTTGTGTTTTGCATGTGTCAAAATGCATACAGCGTGTTGCAATGTATAATATAACAAATGAATAATTCATTGAGAGGGGTGCGATGCACAGATGACAGAATTTCTTACACTTACCAAGACCACTATGACTGAGGAAGACAGAATCAAAACATGAGGGACACCTGGTATTAAACAGTCTCCAGAGTGGGATGAAAGGAAAATTTTAAAACAGGAAATCCTGCTATTACAGGGATATCAGCGGACAGTGAAAACATAAGTAACATCAGTCAAGCTTCACAAAAAAAAGGATGTGATTCAGAAGCAAGCTATGGCACTCCTACCAGCACAAGCTACACAGTTTTAGGCCTACAGTCTACTCATAAAAAAATTAAACATTTTCTTTTGCTTCCATTTTTTACTCCTGCAGTACATCATTCTTTAAAATAATTGTCAACACTGCAAAGTGTACAGGCATTTTTTCTTACCATATTTCACATCAATGCTAGTCAGAGGGATCACCTCATCTGAATAGAAACAATGAATCTTAGAGAATAACACACAAAAATTAAGCTAAAACATACACTGAGTTTCTTCCTCCAAGATAATACAGTTAGCACTAGAGAATTGCATTCAATGGGATTTTAAGCTAAATTCAAAGATAAATTTTTAACGCTATAAAGGAAGAAAATGTCCTTCAGGAATTTACCAATACCTGTTTTTTAACAGCTGAGACTGCAAGCAAAATTTTCATGCTTGGTTACATAGAACATATTTCTGATATTTGCTATCACACACTACATCAATAGCAAAAAGATTCTGAAGGTGTCACTAACTTCCTCTGTAACTTTTTCTTCTCACAGCTTATTCCAGCAGTTTTGTTAAAGAAAATTCTGCTGCATTTTTTGTGATGTCTGGCACTTACCTACAAATGGATTGCTACTGTGGGAGTAAAAAATACTGAGGATGATGTACGAAAAATTAAGAACCATAAAAGAAACTGTCAGCCCCTTCCACTTGGTACGAGGCACAGCTGTTTTTTACCAGCTGATGAGCAAGCAATGTTCTTCCACTTCTCTTTCCTCTTTTTTTCTTTTTTTTGCTTAATTCTTCCGTTTTTTTTTTTTGCAATTTTTCCTTTTTTTTAAACCACTTATTTCCTTGGGTTGGGGTTTTTTCAAAACTTGTTCTTCTTCTTGCCTTCTTCCTTTTCTTTTTCTTAGTTCCGTTTGCTTTTTCTTACGCCAATGTAAGGGAAATAAACCTAAAAGTAACAGAATTCACTATTAGACCTTTAAGTTTTTTGAAAGAAATACTATCCTCAGTCCCCTATTTGGAAATATATTCAGATCATTGGACCACTCCAACACCTTTAAATTTTCATCAATGTTCTTCTTTACTAGATATAGTAATCTGCTCTTTAATATTTTTAAAAATGAATTCATTTACTACAGTAAAATCCTGATTCACACAATGTTGTGAGAACTTTCCCCTCCCTACCTTTACCTAAGCAACTTCCCATTGTTATTAGGCTCAAAGAACACACACTTAAAAAGAACCTTTAAGAGGAAGCACCTATACTAAGAAACACCCAATTTTCATTTTTCCTTAAAAAATTACAAAAATAGTACTTTATCCTTCTCTATAGAATAAGACTAATGGCGCTTGAGTCTGCAGTCAAAACAATACATTTTTCCTTTGAAGACTAACTTTTTGAGAGATTTTAATGTCAAAGACAACTATTCAAGTTTTCACTGCAAATTTTATGTCCACATTGAACAGATGCTTTCAGGCTTGCTCCTTGCTATTTAACATCACTGTGTGACTTTTCCAAATAACCTTAAGTATGCAGCTGTCTTCCTGCAAAAATTGTATTATACATTACTTACTTTCTTGGGGCAGAGTGGCAACCTATGTTCCTAATATAAAAAGAAAAAAAGCAAACAAGCCTGTTCTAGACTTGCTTCATGTTGTTGAACATGCCCTAATTCCCAGTGAAGTAGTCTTCCTGTTGTTTTGGTTCAAAGGACCAACAGGAGGATTTCACTGCTAGTGTTGAATTTGGTTTTGTTTTCAAGAAAGAATATTTAAAATGGCTTTGTTGACATGTTCCTGATCAGTTTTCTAGTCAGCTATACAAATGCTGATCCCTGTATTTGACCTATATTCCAATCTCATGACCAGGGAAAGAGAAAATGTTTGGCTACTCTACAATCCTTGGTTTCTACAAAAATCAATTAGACTTCCATTACAATTCTTATACTACTTACCTTCTGTTTATTCTATTTTAAAAAGAAAAACAAAAAAGGAGTATTTCCTCTCAAAGATTGTTCATGTTATCATTCCTGTTGTACAATCCAAGATCAGATGGCCGCTGCTCTTCCAAGTTTAACTCAGCAGGAATGCAGTCAAGATTTAGCAACACTGTTGCTAAATTTCAGCATGAGAATATGTCTGTTTGTTACATAAATATGCAAAATGTTAAATCTGAAGCACAACTACCATAAAGTAAGATAGTTGAATACTAATTTTGGCATGTTCAAATTATTATATAGGACATAAAGAAAAAATTATAAATTGTTTAGGTGATATTTACGTATTCTAAAATCATGCTACAGAAATGCAGTATTTGCATTTATATTTGTTTTTAAAGTATCAGTTCATCAGCTGAAAACAGTATCTCAGAATCACATGCTAAAAAGTCTTGCCTTGAAATATTTGTCTACATTGAGATTTCCCTTTTCCCCTTTTTTGTTCTTTCTGTGAAATGGCAGTTCCTGCTCTCACTAGGAGGAAGGCTCCTGCTCCTGAGAATCTGCAACTAAAGAACATACTCAGTGTCCTCACAGCATTTACAGCCCTAGGAGCTCTGTCAAACAAATCATCTGTGGCCAGTAAACCTGAGCCACACAGCAGCACAAGAGGGAAGTACTAAACACTACAACAAGATGGAGGACCCTCATCTTCTTACTGGCATCAAGAAGGGCTGTTGCTTGCTCGGGGTTTGAATTCCGGGCATTGTTGAAAGACTGCTGAAAGCTTGTCTAGCTCTCACGTTATTATTCCTTCTGCTCTTCCACCTGGGCACGAGCTGTACAGCTAGGGAGACCTGCAAAGCGCCAAGTGTGATTATGCAGCTTTGGAAGATATGTTCAAAGCTCAAGTGGTGTTCTCTCCTGTTGCACCAGTTAGTGAGGAGGAGGTTTGAGCAGCAGACAGACTCTGCAGGTCAACAACCAGCTATGATATAGTGCTGGTAACAAAGTTTTGGTTTTGATAACCATTAAGCCCATTTCAGAATAAGGACTGCTTGGAAGAGATGGGATCCACCAGCCTATGGTGAGCAGACGCATCTTTACAAACAGGCTGGCCAAGGTGGTAAGAACTGTTTTATACAAAAACAAAAAAAACCCAAACAAACAAAAAAAAGAAACAAACAAAACAAACAACAACAAAAAAAAACCAAAAAAACACAAACAAACAAACAAAAAAAAACCACAAAGTAGCAAACTCTGTTGAAGAACTAGGGGTGAGGAATGATATGAACAAAAGACACCTCAGAGTCAACAAAACAGGTCTGGGTAAAGTGGGATCACCTCAAGGATATGCACATAAATATACAAAGGCCTAAAGAACGCTCTGGGGAAAGCCTCATTCTTGGGAATCAGAAAGAGTGGATGCATATGTGAAGCGCTTGTGCACTAATGCAGGCAGCATGGAGAACAAATAGAAACAGAGTTCTACATGTAATTACAATGTCACAGACCCACTGGGATCCGTGGTAGGATGGCTCCTATGCCAAGGTTGCTGCCATGAACATATAAAGGCTCCTTAGAAGAACAAGCTGAGAAGTCAGTGACAGAAAGACACCCTGTGACAGACCAGAGGGAATGCATGAGCTCGGTCTTAGGAGGGATATGAGCCAGCTGAGAGATTACTGGTCAGAATGACTAAGCAGATCAACATGAGTGACACTGTTACAGATTACTGCTACAGACTGCCTGATCAGGATGACATCTTCATAGAAGAACTGATGAAGCATTACAGGGGTGACTGTAGGCAGGCTGAAAAATGGCTGGAAAGCTAGGCTCAAAGGCTTCAGAAGCTTGAAATCCAGCTGGAAGCCAGTTCACTAGCAGCATATCCAAAGAGGAATATTATGAAATGTCTTTAATAGGGACCCAGATGATGGGACAGAGGGCAATTTTTCATATAATATAAAAATTGAAGGAGGGTTCAACACACCTGATAGTTGCATTGCCATTTAGGAGAAATTCTGTAAGCTGGAAAAACAAGCTGAGAGGAACCTTATACAGTTCAGAAAAGTTAAGTGCAAACAAACCCTATTCACCAGTTTATACTGGGGGTCAGCTGGCTGGAAAACAGCTCTGCAGACAAGAAACCAAGCGGAACACACTCCAGCACTGTGCCCTTGCAGCACAGAAGGCAAACCAAAACCTGGGCTGTATTGGGAAGATCGCTGCCAGCAGCCAAAGAAGGTACTACTCAGACCTGTTAAAACCATATCTGAACTGCTGCATCTGTGCCTCCCCAGTAAGAGAGACACCTGGACATAGACAGGAGTTCAGCAAAGGGTAATTAAGATGATTAAGTGACTGCAGTTTCTGTCAAGTGAGGTGAGACTGAGTGAGCTGTGTTTGTTTAGCCTCAAGAAGAGAAGGCTCAGTAAGATCTCACCAATCCTGTGTATAAATAACCCAATGGTGGCTGCTTCTTTATACCCTCACATAATCTCAGTGGTGCCCAATGAACAGACATGGGGTAGTAGAAACAAACTGAAAAGTACTTCCAACTGCAAACAATTAAACTGACAGTTCCATTCAGTTTATCACTGAAGTTTTATTATATTAAATTACTTCTAACACTACTGACTATAGCTTCAAACAACAGTCAGGGCCAATTACCTTACCTTGCACTGATTTAAATTTTAAGTGTGAATCTGCAAGTTTAGTTTTAATTCAAGTTACTTTCCAGTCAGTTCACAGTTGAATGAACTCTTCTCTAAAACAATTTTTTTTTTTTAAATTTAAGATAGTTATCTGTAAACTACAGAGGAAAAATCATTACTCATGTTCCACTTTAAAGTACCATCTAAGCCACATCCTTAGGGAATACCAGTCAAAAATATGTACATATACCAGGTAAAGCACATGTAAATATACAAAAATGTACAGAAAATCTCTGTATTTAACTTATGAAGTAAACAATTACTTACATTTTTTGAAGAACCTGGGCCATCACAACCCCACTCGTTAAATCTTCCACGGTCTGGCATGGTGCCTCAACATTAAATGTTTGAATCTGTGGGAGAAAGGAAAAAGTTATCCTTGTTTCCTTCAATATAAAGGAATTGTGAAAAGTTTGAAAAAAAAAATACTGCCAAATAGCAAAAAGACAAACTCCACAAATTCGGTGTACGTGTTCAATTTAAAAAGTTTTATATTTAATAGCCATCAAAGAAACAAAGAGAGCTTAGTACCCTTGTTTTCTCAATAAACTGCTACAAAAACCAGTGCTACGTTCTCCAAAAGGCAAACTTTCTACTGCTTTCTCTACTTACTGAGAGTCATCAGTGCATTCAAGTACTTCCATATGTTGTGTATATATTCAAATACACCTTCTCAATCAACAAAATAAAGAAACTCAGTTTTTAGAAGGAACAATGATCCCACAGAATGCTCATAAGCTCCCTACAATGAGAAGATGAAATGTAGATTGACATACATATTCCAAACTTGATTAATCCCTACTATCAGATGGAAGAGAAGAACACAATGCTGTAAAACTCTAACTGGTCTATACACTACTAGAATTCTGAATATTTCATGCTGCTGTATTAACACAGTGCACCACAGTCCACAGCAAAGCTCTCTTCTTCCTTGCTCTCTTGGTGAGAAGAATCAGTCCACTTCAGGACAATCTTTTTAACTGATTTAGGTTATTTGATCATTTACTTTAAAGTAACATTATTTTTAAGTGATGTGGATGAGTTTGTAAAAATAATTTTTATGGTATTATTTGGAGGGTATCTGCCTAGTGCTCTCTCTGCTACTATCCTCCTCTTACAGGACACAGGAAACTTGGGCTTATTTGTAGAAAGCAAATTTGTTCATACACACAAGGGATAAGGCAGTCTACAAGAGCACTTGAGTTTTAAGACAATATAAATGTTAGATACATCAATCATTTTTTTTCTGAACATAATGTACAATCATTCATGCTTTAGTGGCATTTAAAGAGTAATAGTTGTTAGTCATTTTGCAATAAAAACTCTTTATATGTGTGTATTACAATAAAAGGCAATTCATGTTTCAGTGGGAAATTCTGAAGGTCTTTCTCTGAGAAGTTTCTCAAAAAGTCAAGTGCACAATAGCCAGATTCTCCTTATACCCTTGGAATAGTATATTACTATACCTTTGGTATACGTACTCTAGGTCATGCAAGGTAAAATTAATCACATAGGCACTCTGGCAATGCCATTTAACATTAATTTGGAGTAAAGGCACCTAGGTGAATTTTCCTTCTTCCCTTTATTCTGGAGGAAAAAACCTAACACTCAAGTAGGAAAAAAAAAGCCATTATATCCACGAAGAGTCAAAAATTGAGCTCTCAGAGCATATTTTCTCATCAACTGTGACCACTCTATAGCAATGAATGATGCCCATTTTCCAAAAGCACATGAATAAATTACTGAGTGGCATATAAGACAGACAGAAGTGACTTCTGCACTTCTGATTCAGCTTTTTTTACAGCATGGTCTGAACTACTTTAAAAAACTCCACAGCTGCCTCTCCAGAAATCAAGAAGCCATCATAGGTTGTCAGGACACTAGGTGAAAATTGGAGTGGGTGGGTGAGGGAAAAAACCCACGCATGAAAACACAACATAACAGGATATAACACTGAATTGCTATTTTGCCAGAAAACTGAATTTACCAGTAGTTTCTGATTTGTGGCAACACTGTTGAAGGAATACAGAGACAACTCTGAGTCCCCAACTCAGCAAAATATTAAACAATATATAATAGTTTACAGCTACAACAAAAAGGGCTGCAATGATCATTGTGGATACTTATGCTTGAAGAAGTTTAAGATGCTAAAAAGATAAAATTTCAAGCACAGACAACGAAAACTTTTCTTCTAATTTTGCATATTGTACATTTAAATAATGAAAATTGAAATCACTTTGTTGCACACGACCCAAATCAAAAAATGCCTTAAGAAAATTACTACTGTTATAGTTTTCCAGAAGTAGACAATGTTAAATGTTCTTTTCAAACAAGCAACAGCAACACATTAAGGTTCCGTAACGTATCTGAACTCTTTCTTCCTCCCATAGACACACATGCAAGATTGCCATTGAGGAAAATAATGTTTCACATAGTTAGATATCAAAGAAAAGAAAGACAGAATTAAACTAACATGACTTTTATCTGCATACATGTTTACATTTCATAATAAATGAATTTTTTTACATTTAATTTATATATTTTTATATTTAGTTTTAGTTATAAAAACTTCAAATTTAGGTTTTATATTTCAATTGTGTCAAATTCATACTGCAAAACATTTACACAAATCTTAAAAAATAAAGAACTATATGCTTTTCATATCCTTCAGAAAATTAAATTTTTTTCTTCAAAAAACCTTACACAAAATAGCTTTCAAATTGACATCAAAGTTAAACTCCTATACCATTGCCAGTTCTAGAATATGCTAAATCCCTCTAGGAGAGTTCACTTTCCAGAAGAGAGAAAATTATAAGAATGTGGCGAATGAGAAGAATGTGGTGAGACACAGAGTCCCAGCTATTGAGATGAGCAAATCTGTGTGTGTGTGCCTCTGAACAGCTATTCAGTAACAGCTGTTAAAACAGCGCTCTTCCTGTGCATTGTGATGTATCTCCCCCTGGAAGACTACTCTCCTTTCCTGCACAAACTGCTCCTCTGCTCCTACTTCTTGAGTGCTTGTGATGCAGTTCTCATCGTTAGTTTCACAACACTGAAAACTTTTTCCCCACTTCTTGAACTGTTGTATGGAGCCTGTACCTCATGTCTGTGGGCACACATGAATCTCATGAAGTTCAAGGCCAAGTGCTGTATTTGAGCTGGGGCAACTCCCCCTACCAACACAGGCTGGGGGATGAAGGGATTGAGAGCAGCCCTGCCAAGGATTTGGGGGTGCTGGTGGGTAAGAGGTGAACATTAGTCAGAAACATGCATGGTCAGCAGGTTAAAGAAGGTGATTTTCGCCCTCTACTCCTCTCTCATGAGACCCCATGACTCAGTACTATGTGCAGCTTTAGGGTCCTCTGGAGAAGGAAGACACAGGCATGTTTGAGCAGGTCCTGAGTAGGGCTTTCTTCCTATGAGGAAAGGCTGGGGGAGTTGAGGTTGTTCAGCCTGGAGAAGATAAGCCTTCAGTGAGACCTCACTGTGGCCTTCCAGTACTTAAAGGGAGGATGGGGACACACTTTTTAATAGGCCCTGTAGCAACCAGAAAAGCAGAAACTGTTTTAAATTGGAAAATCATAGATTCAGAGTAGATGAGTAAGAATTATTCCATGATGAGGGTGTTGAAACACTGGAACAAAGAAGTGGTGGATGCCCCATCCTGAGTAAGGCTGGGCTAGGCTCTGCACAACCTGATCTAGTTAAAATATCCCTGCACAAAGCCAGGGGGAAGGGGCAGGGGGGCAAGAGTAGGGGGAGGGTTGGACTACTTAACATTTAAAGGTCCCTTACAACACAAATTAGTCTATGATCCTATCACACAAGAGTCTGGAGAAAAGAAAGGGGTAAAGTGAAAAACCTCAGCCACTTGACTTAACCACCAGGTCTAGCAGGCCTTCATAATTTCCAACAACTATCATGCAATGAGAGAAAAGGGTTCTTTAATTTTGCTGAATATTAATCAAATCTCTGATCCACATGGACAGGAACAGTCAATTTTTGTAAAAACCTTAGAATAAGAACTAACATTTTACAGTTACAATGCAAAGGAGGCTATCACTGGGGACTAAATTGCTTCAGGAAGAAAACACCTTAGAAAATTTGGGTTCCAGTTCCTGATTATATATATGACTAGTGAGGATCTGTTAGCTGCTAGGGATAGGACACAAAAATATATTTAATGAAAAAAACTTTCGATATAAAGGTCAGTGAATTGGACAAACACTCAGCCATCAAATCAGTAGGTGAAAACCAGGATAAAAATGTAATGGGGAATTCAGCATCCCATGAAACTTGCTGAGAAAAAGAAAAAATGTAAAAAATGAAACAAAGTAAACCAATTCCACCTCAAAGACAAGAAAAATTCTCAATGACCTTTTCCTTCTCAACACTAAGGGATAATGAAAGACTTGCTCTTTGCACAGTGATTATATACACAGCCTGGTTTTTATTAATGATGCAGTTATGTAACAAAGTATTATTTTGGAATAATACCTGAAATTGTTGTCAATGGTTCTTAGCAGATAAAACACTATGTGACTGGTTACCTTAAGTGCAAACACAACAAACAGTAGCACCCAATTTATCCAAGCAAAGCACTCCCCACTCACTGCTGGGGGACAAACTGAGCACAGGTCCAGATTCTGACCAACCTGCTTGTTTCTGTCAGGTTTTGTCACTCTCTTTGCCTCTCCTTACTATTATAATTATTATTGTTATTAGCATATTTAGTACTATGTTATATTCATTATTCATACTATTCTATATTTATGTTATGTCTAGCCTATTATTACTGTTGTTGTTATTGTGTTATTTTGTTTCAATTATTACATATTTCTTATGTCAACCTGCAATGTTTATCTTTTCTTTCCCATTCTTCTTTCCATTGGCAGGGGAATGTGGGGGAATGAGTAAGCAGTTGGGTGATCCTTAATTCCCAACAAGGATTTTACCATAGCACCACTACTTCAGAATTATTCATCCACTATTTCCCTATGTTTTTGGAACTGACTATGCAAGCTTAGAGCTGGGTGCTATGCAGAGCCAAGAACAATGCCATATCAGTACAGAAGAAACAAATCACAGAGATAAGATAGGGAGAAGTGGCTGTGAAAGGAGACAAGAAAGGAATCAGCTTCACTAGGCTGGATGCAGCAAGGGCATTTGCAGAGACGGGTAAGGTGGGTTGGATACTTCTGCCCTCGCACATTAATCCTGTATTACCTATAAGATCTGCAAAAATCTCACTAGAACAACATTTACTTAGCTTCAATGCCTGGAGAAAACCAGAATAACTCTCTGCACAATAACGAGATAATTAAGTAATACACACAGTTGTTCTTCCTCAGAT